CCAGCAGTCTGACTGCCTCCTCGTCACTTGCTCCATAGCTCCAGCTTCACCAGATCTCAGAAAGGACCCCAACTGTTCCTGCTCCACCCTCCTAAAACTGCCTCCACATTGGAACATGGAATTTGGGGTAGCCTAAATCTGTATTCCTAGGCCACGATCATTCATATTTGGCTTCAAGATAAACTATCTCCTATTCCCTTTGAGGTAAGAGTTCTGGTTTGTGTCAACTTCTATGGTGCCAGAAGTTAGTATCCCCAGAACAGGCCACTTTTTCACTGAAGGGGTCGCTTAGGTGGTTGCCAAGGACTGGCAATATGGACCTCTGTGTCCAAACCCTCTTGCATTATGTCCTCGGGTGGATTTTGGGGAGTTCTTTCTCGGTCCTCTCACATCTTTCTTGGTTTTTTTTTGAGGGCTCATTGGTTTATTCTAAACTGAATGCTTAAGGATCCTGTTTGGTAGATAAATACTGCTTCTTTTTTAATTTTCTTTCAAAGTGTTTGGTTTAAGGTATCTATTTTGTTTGTCTGACATGGTTTTTGTTGTTGTTGTTTATTTGCTTTTAGACTTTTAAAGGTATTTTGGTTTGTTAAGCTTGCTAGCAGTTGCCCCCTTCCATATCTAATCTAAGGGAAGAAAGTTTGGGGGAGGAACCCCAAATAGATATTTGGTATTCCATTGGTCTTATGTTTGATCAGTATATAACTCAACTTTCAAGTGTAAAAAAAATGAGAAAATTTAACTATGGATAAGTTGACTTTATGTTTCCCTTTATGAGGAATATTTATTATCTTTAAATTAGTTTGTTTTGTTCACTTAACTAAAGGTCAAAGGCAGTAAATTTTTAGAAAATCACAAATAGGCAGCCTGCTTGAATTATAATTAATAATAAATTATAAGAGTCTTAATTTACAAAAATTAATAAGAGCTTCAGAAAACTATGTGTTAAGAAGAGGTATTATTTTTTTAATTTAAAAGTTTGAGATTAAATCTGAACTAGAGACACATTCTGAGAACAACCCCCTTTCTTTGATCTTGTCTATTCCTCCTTTATCTCCTAACAGAGCAAATCTATGTCAACGGAAAAATTGTCATGGCCTATTTTAAGATAACAAGCAGAGAGAAAAGGTATTCCCTGCTACATTAAAAATTCTCTTTTGTAAAGGGTGCTTTCTCTTGGGAAGTCTACATTCACACTTTGATACTTATTTTCCTCCTTAACTAGCACTCCTTAAACCCCTACGCTTAAGCCTGAATTACAGTGTCTTTAGTATACCAATTAGTCCAAAATTTCTTTTTAGCATCTGTACTGGCTCTTGTCAACTTGAGCCGTCTAGGAAGAGGGACCCTCAATGGAACAAATGCCACCATCAGATTGGCCTGTAGGAAAGTCAATGGGACATTTTCTTGTAATGATTGGTGTGGGTGGTGCCACCCCCGGGGCAGATAATCATAAGCTGTATAAGAAAGCAAGCTAAGCAAGTCCTGGGTAACAAGTCAGTAAGCAGCATTCCTCCATGGACTCTACCTGAGTTCCTGCCCCAGCTTTTCTGATGATGGGAGTGGGCCAAAGAAACACTTTCCCTCCCAAATTGTTTTTGGTCAGTGTTTTATCACAACAGTAGAAAGTAAATTAAAATTGTGTCAAAGCCACGAATCCTAATTTGTCCTGAGCTGAGGAACTCCATAGGTAAGATGACTATGTGGAGCTAGTTTTTGCTCCCTCACCCCTTACAGCTCTGGAGGATCATGCTGAGACCCATCATGAAACACTGTTAACCAGTTTCCCCATCTGTCAGTTGGCTTGTACACAATGCTAAGCACAGCTTGCATGTTACCGTGGGTTCTTTTGTTTCTGTTTTTATGGCCAGAGACTTAAGTGTTTGATCATTCTAGACTCATCTATACCCCAGTCCTGGGTGTGATCAAACAGGATACAGCTTTTCTTGAGGGAGACATTATTTTAAAGGGGCTGATACCCCAAGACATTCTAAGCCATTCTCTTGGTTCCAAGAGACTACCCCCAGAACACAATGATGAAACTACTTATCCAAAGCAGGACATTCTGGATCCAAGGTAGCACATGAAGAATAATTTCCTCTATACTTACTTCCTTTTAACCTGAAGTCTTCAACATGCTCTGTGCTTCTCTGCTTTCTTTCTCTAAAGCTAATAACTTAGTCACAGGAGCTCAACCAGCTTCCACCCTGTGATATTCTGAGGAAGGGGCTGACTTACATAAATGATCATAATAGATAATTTTAAACTCTATATGTCCTCACTTTATAAGAGGTTAAAAAAACAGCTGTTTATCACTGTCTTTAAACTCTACACTAGACAGAAACATTTCCAATCCATGGGTCTCTAGGGATACCTAGAGGGAAAAACAGTCACCTGAGTATACATAATGACAGAATCCTGGGTAAAGGGCTGTACAGGACAGGCATGTGCTCCTAATCCAAGGTAAGAGAGAGACCAGCGCTGCCAGATCTAGGAAGGGAACTAAATTCTAGATTGATGCTGGGCCAGTAGGATGATGCCTGATCCAAGGAACTATAATTCTTCCCTTTTTCTTCTAGTACATAAGCAAGCATTAGAAATATAATTTAGCCTCGCTATAAATTAAAAGAGTAAAAACTTTGACCTAAAATAACATTTAAAAAGACTTTTCTTCAGCTGGACATGGTAGTGTATACTGTTAATCCCAGCATTCAGTAGGCAGAGACTTTGAATTTGAGGCCATCCTGGTTTACATAATGAGACCCTGTCTCAAAGAGGAGGAGGAGGAGGAGGAGGAGGAGGAGGAGGAGATATTGTCTTTCTTCTTTATTTATTGTTGTTTGTTTGTGACAAAGTCTTGCTTTGTAGACCAGGCTGGCCTCAGAATTGTAGAGATCCACCTGCTTCTGCCTCCTAAGTGCTGGAATTTGTTCCTAGCAAAAAAGGCTTTTTCATCAGCAAAGACATACTCACCATGCTATTTAAGCTTTAACAGGAACCACTTCACCTTTGGATCATCAATGTCGCTACAGTTTCTTACAACTTAAAGGGCATATAAGCTTTCTACCTTTTGACTAGGTACACCTAGAGTTCATGTATTATGTCATATGAGTCTAGATATTGTGTTCATGCATTGTGCTCCAAAAGGTATGTACTATGGTCACTTCAGTTATTTTATTTTTTCATTCACTTTTATTATGTGCTAAAACTGTTCTTATTACTGGCATGCCCTATTAAAATGCACATTTTATAAGTCTATTTGGGTGATATATTAAACAGCCTGACAAATACACAATGCCTTATCAACTGAGAAATGTCCCCCAAGGCCCCACTGGTGCGCTGTTTGGGGACATAGGTTGGAACCTTTATGAGGTGCAGCCTCGCTGAAAGAAGCATACCATAAGGACAGGCTGTGGGAGTTTATAGCCCCACCACAGGTCCAGTGCATGCTCTTTCCTTCCTGTATGACAACAAAATGCCAGAGTCCTGTTCCTCCTGTTCCGGCCATGCTCTCCTGACTCTGACCCCCTGGAAGTCGAAGCCTAATTAGCTTTCTTTCGAAGTTGCTTTTGGTTATGGAGATTTTTATCACAGTAACAGAAAAGTAAAAGTTCACGTGGGTACACTGAACACCAAAAAACAAATTAAAGCTGTGTCTTGGGGGTCTGTTTCTTCCACAAAACATTAAAATATTATTTGTCTATATAGCTGCATTCATTGGATAAGATAAAGGTTTCATGAAGCTATAAAATGTAGCACCATATATATTCTTGATAGAAGAATAAAGACCGAGATTAGAGAGGCATATGCAGGCAGCTATGACATTTGTTAGTGGTTGTTTTCCTATTGTAGGTGCTGAGGGTCAGGTGTTTTACTCTGCACTTTCATGTGGAAATCCCTTGTCTATCCCCTTTAACATGTGTTTTCCAACAGGACGTTAGGTGCAGGGCTGAAGAGGTGTCTTAGCTGTCATGTTCCCGGCTCCCATGGCAGGTGTCTCATGACCACATAGAATTCCAACTCCAGGGGATCTGGTGACTCTGGCCTCTATGGGCATCTGCATACATGCATGTGTGTGCGTGTGTGTGCATACACGCACACACGCGCGCACACACACACACACACACACACAGAGTTTTTAAAAAATCCTAAAAAGTTAGTTATTAAAATGACTTTAAATGGTTAATTTCCATGTGTGATTTTTTAATTTGAAAGTCCTTTTTGAAGCCATTATTGAAATTTTAATTAAAAAGGAGCAAGCTGTATCTCCTTGTGTAACTTTTTTTAGCCTTTTAGTATTAGCTGAAGTGAACTGATAAGTTTTTTAAAGACTTATTTAGCACTATCTGATGAGAACTTATTTCTACTATAGTTCATAGAAAGAATAAAATGCCTCTAAAAATCACCAAGTTTGAGTACGGCACAATTAACAGACGAGCTACAGGGAAAATATATGATACCACAAACCAATTCCCCTAAAATATGTCTTTGTGTTCACGCAATTCCAATTTAAAAACAAGAAAGACTTTTTGGGGACTTGACAAATTAACAAACTTACATGGAGACATTTGAAAATAAAGGCAGACAACAAATCTACAGTTTGCCTTCTCCGTAGATTTCGTAACTGTAGATTAATCAACTGAGGAACAAAACTATGTGGGAGAACTGGTTGTGTAGCTAATTTCCTCCAAACTGAGATGTTTACCCTTGAGAGAAACTTAAGACTCAGGGAGATAATGAAACTTACAAGGTTTGTGTATTAGTCAGGGTTCTCTAGAGTCACAGAACTTACAGAATGACTCTTTCTCTCTCTCTCTCTCTCTCTCTCTCTCTCTCTCTCTCTCTATATATATATATATATATATATATATATATATAGATATATATATATATATATATATATATATATATAGATAGATAGATAGATAGATAGAGATGTAGACAGATAGGTAGCTAGATATACGTATAGATATAGATGGGAATTTATTGGAATGACTTACAGGCTGCAGTCCAACAATGGCTAGTTGTGAACAGAAAGTCCAAGAATCTAGTAGTTGCTCATTCCCACAAGGCTGAGTGTCCCACCTGGTCTTCTGTAAATGCTGGACTCCTGAAGTAGGCTCCAATGACAGTGAAGGAATGGATGTGCTGACAAGGTGACAGCAAGCAGGCAAAGAACAAACCCTTCTTTCTTCCCTTGTCCTCATAGAGGCTTCCAGCAGAAGGTCTGGTCCAGGTTAAAGGTGTGCTTTCTCATCTCCAGGTCTGGATTAAAGATGTGTGTCTTCCAGCCTCAAGATCTGGATCCAAGGCATCTTGTTTTGCCTCAAGATCCTAACCACAGGTGTGTCCTCCGTTTCGGTACTGTAGTTCATTCCAGATATAGTCAAGTTGACAACCAAGAGTAGCCACCACAGCTTGGGAAGCCCACACAGTTAGAAGATTTACAGGACCACCCCCCAACCCAGATATGATCAAAGCAGTACTTAATTGCTAGGAAGAGGAGACTGTACAGTGGAGTAAGTTCTGGGCATGCAGCTTTTCTGGGTCATCAACCACGCAGAAAGGGGCTTTTTTTGCTGGGGGGATGAGACAATCCAGTGAACCTAAGTTCCAGGCACATAGCTTACCCCAGTTATCATCCATGCAGAAATGGGCTTTTCAGCAATGCAACTGCTTTTTCAGTCACTCATGCTCCTGTAGGTAACCCCAATAAACGCACTGGTTCAACGAGACAGGCATGGATGGGATCTATTTTCCTTAGTCTGTTAGTGCCCTCTATAGGATAAAGACATTCATTCTCATCTCCCACAGAAAACTCATACAACACAATCAATGTCTGAATACAGTCTCACACAAGAGAAAGTGAATTGGACCCTGTGAAGGGTGATGAGATATGCAACTGAAGCTGATTCCTCTGAGGGAGGAAATCCAGAGACAATCCCAGTATGACTACAGTTCCCCAAATGGTATGAGATAGTGTGCGTCCTTGCTGTAGTGGCCAATGCATGCACTCTCCAACAGATATAATAACCTGCAACCAAAGCTGAGCTGTCTCAGAGTAGAGCATGCTTAGGGAGGATTCTGGGGTGGCCATCTTTCTCTACATGGCATGGGTCAGCATGCTTCCTTGATGAACAACTCCACTCCATGTCAGTATGAAGAAACACCCAAAATAGATGATGGACTAGAAAATTCATATATTGCCATCACTGAACTCCTGGGAAGAAATGAACAAAAGGTGTGCAGGGGGCAGGGCAGTAGGGGGTGGGGCGGTAGGGGGTGCTCATAGGTCATAGACAACACCTGACCTTAAATACAAAGGAGGTGAAAAGTCCATGGCTCAGGATGCAGATGGGGTCCTCATGGTTCCAGCAGTAATCGGAGACTACTTTGCATCTGGAAGGCCTGAGCTGAGGAAGACTTAAACAAGAGAGGAAAAGCCCTCACAGTCTGGTCTGTAGCAGTATGGGATAAGGAACAGATGAGATGACTGTGCCACAGAGCTGAAAATCTGAGTGTAGTGGTTAATGGTAATTGTCAACTTGACATCTAGAATCACCTGGGAGGGAGTTTCAGTGAGGAGTTGTCTCCATTAAACGGACTATGGGCATGTCTGTGAGCCATTTTCTTTTATGTTAAGTGAGACGGGAAGACCCATCTACTGTGGCTGGAAGGATGGCTTAGCAGTTACGAGTGTGGAAGTCCAGCTTCAGGGGACCTAACACCCTTCTCTCCACCCCACAGGCACTGCACCCACACATACACAACATCCTCCAACACACACAAAATTTTACAACTTCTTTTAAACCTTAAAAATAGGAACCTCCAATGAAGAACTCCTCTGACAAAAGTAACTGGTGGCTGACAGACTTGAAATTTTATAGCTTGTAAGTAATATTGAGCGTGAACAAAAAACCACTCATCAGCCCCTTGTATCCATTTTTAATTCATAAATATATATATATATATGTATATTGTATTTGTTTGTTTGTTTAAGGTGGTGTCACACGGCATAGCCTGACCAGCCTGGAACTCAATAGGCAGATGAGGCTGACTTCGAACTCATGGACATCTGCCTGCTTCTGCCTTGTGAGGGCCAGGATTAAAGATGTGTGCTACCAAAACCAGCTTTAGTTATTTTATTCATGACATCAAAAGCCCCAGAAGGGGACCTTGATTTCCTGGGTATCAAAATGAAGGCCCTGCTGGGGCTCCCTGTGATTCCTGGTAACACTTCCTTCCTACCTTTCAATTCTTTTTTTTTTTTTTGGTTTTTCGAGACAGGGTTTCTCTATGTAGCTTTGCACCTTTCCTGGAACTCACTTGGTAGTCCAGGCTGGCCTCGAACTCACAGCGATCCGCCTGGCTCTGCCTCCCGAGTGCTGGGATTAAAGGCGTGCGCCACCACCACCCGGCTCCTTTCAATTCTTTAATTGGCGGGAAAATGATCTCATTCTTGTACCCTTAAACGGTATCAAGTGGGTGAAAGTGAGAGGGCCTGTGTTCAAATTCCCAGCACCTACCTAGAAGCTAGCATAGCCATACATGCCATAACCCCAACATGTGGTTGGGGCCAGAGACTGGTACATGGCCAGAGCTTAGTGGCTAGTGAGCCTGGCTGAAACAGTGAATTATGGTTCAAAAGGTCCCAAAAGTAAGGTCAGGAGCGAGAGAGAGAGAGAGAGAGAGAGAGAGAGAGAGAGAGAGAGACCCAATGTCCTTCTGCTTCTGCACGTGCATGCAGCACATACGTGGGTATCCCCACACACAGGCAAAAAGATGCTGAGCTTCCCTGGCAGAAGAAATACACAATAAACACTACTGAGACACCACTTTAATCCAGTCAGAAATTACAACCCCAGGTAACTGCAAGTGTTTACCACCTTTACCTGAGAATATGGTATGAGAGTTTCAAACTGTTGATGAAGTTCTAGTAGCTGAATTAGCTCTGCATTCTTTTTGGCTTTTTCTTTAATCAAGTTAATATAACGTTCAGGATTTTCTGCGAATGAATATGCAGCATCTCTGGTATTGAAAGTGTAATATTTTTCTTTATGTTTCAAAATTCCAATGGATGGATTTCCTGTGAAAATTAAGAACAATAATTTAAGCATGAAACAAGTGACTTTTTTTTAATGATAAGCCATAGTACCTGTAGGGGAATGTTATTTTAAGGTGTATTACTTTTGTTCATGTTGCATTTGTTTAACTCTGTGAAGCTGTGTTACTGTGCCTGTCTAAAACACCTGATGGTCTAAGTAAAGAACTGAACGGCCAATGGCGAGGCAGGAGAGTGAAATAGGCGGGGCTGCCAGGCAGAGGGGATAAATAGGAGGAGAAATCTGGGAGGGAGGGAAGGAAAATAAGAAGTACCCAGGACTTCAGGGACCAGCCACCCAGCTACACATCTACACTGCAAGTCACGGAGTAAGAGTAAGATTTACAGAAGTGAGAGATCAGGAAAAGCCAGAGTCAAAAGGTAGGTGGGCTAATTTAAAGTTAAGGAAAACTGTTAAGAAACAAGCCAAGCTAAGGCTGGGCATTTATAAGTAAGAATAAGCCTCTGTGTGTGATTCATTTGGGAGCTGGGTGGGGTCCCCTAAAAGAGCAAAAACCAACAGCAGCAGTACCAATGTTGTTGTGGTTTTGTTTTTGTTTTGTTGGTGGTGTTGGCAATCCAGCCAGAGCCTTTCACATGCTAACCAATACTCTACCACTGAGCTACATGGCCATCCCACACACTGCATTTTAACATATCAGTTCTATTTTTATTTTGCTAAAATGTTATTAAACAATAAATGTGTGAAATTCATATTAAATTATATATTTTTATTTTTAAATTTAAAACATATTTTATGAGACTGAAGAGATGGCATACCAGTAAGAATTAAGTAGGGCTCTTACACAGGACCCAAATTCCGTTCCCAGCACCTTCATTAGTGGCTCATAACTGCCCCTAACTCCAGTTCTCAGGATTCAATACCTTCTTTCGGCCTCCACAAGCACCTGCACTTATGTGTATATAGCCCCATGAAGACATACACATATACACATAATTTAAAAAGAAAGTAAATCAGGGGATGGAGAGATGGCTTAGTAGTTAACAGTAAGTATTGCTCTTCCAAAGGACCTGAGTTTGGGTCTCAGCATCCTGTCTCATAAAACGTGTGACTCCAGATCGTCTTTTGACCACCAAGGGTACCTGCACACATGTTGCATTACTCACACAGCCAAATATATACACATAAATCAAAATACAAATAAATCTTTAAAAATTGAGTTTTATGTACAAATCCTCCTATACAGATGAAATACATGTAAAAAAATCTTATGAAAACCATTTAATCTATTTGGTAAAATTTACAAAACTACTTAAATTAATCTGATTACTAAGGTGTAGAAGGCCCGAGGTCCTTGTGCTCATAGACAAGCACTAGGGGAACAAGGAATATTAGACACGAAGGGCTGTATCTTCAACAGAAGACACACATACCTGGAGTGGATACAGTTGATAGCCTGGTGATCTGTGCTGTCTGTAGGGCCAGGTCACGTCTGAGCCCCCAGACTGTTATGTTTATCCCAAACTCTTCCTCTCTAGACCCTTATCCTGAGCACCGTTTCTCAGTCACTAGAACCTGTCTTTATGGAAGAGGTAACAAGTACTGTGCAAACGAGTTTTGATGTAGTCACGGCTAAAGCTTTACTGGTGATAATACATATATAAAATAAAATTGTTTTCAAAATAAATAGTAATTTCGATATTGAGAGGCAATACATTATTATTCAAAAAGTGCTGTGTGGAGTGGGAATGACAAGAAGCCTGCTGGGGCTGTGGCATAGTTAGATCTAGTTGTCAACATGACGTGTGGGGAGAAGAAACCTCAATTAAGAATTGCTTCCATCAGGTTGGCCTCTGGACATGTCTGAGAGGCCCTGTTTTGCCTGCTAACTAATGTAGGAGGGCCCGCCAACTGTGGACAGTGCCATCTCTAGGCTTGGGCTGTGTAAGAAAGGCAGCAGAGGAAGACATGGAGAGCATGCCGGTAAGCAGGGTTCCTCATGGCTCTTTGCTTCAGTTCCTGCCTTGAGTTCCTGTCTTGGCTTCCTTCAGTGATGGACTGTAAGCATGTAAACTGAAGTGAACTGTTTCCTTCCCCAAGTTAGAACTGGTCTGTGTTTTATTACAGCACCAGAAAGCAAACTAGAATGTACTCTAGTCCTATAACCTTAGCACGGGCCAGCCGGGGACAGAAACAGGAGGTAGCTGGGGTGTGTAGCTGCCAGCCTAACTCCAGACTTAGTGAGAGAACGTGAATCAAAGGAATAGGGCAAAGAATGATAGAGAAGGGCACCAGATGTTCCCCTTCTCCTCCTTTTCCTCTTCTGTGGAGACAGGGTCTCCCTACTCAGACCTGGCTGTTCTGGAATTCATTGTATAGACCACAGTGGCCTCAAGATCACAGAAATCCTCCTGCTTTACTTCCTAAGTGCTAGGATTAAAGGTGTGCACTACCATGCTTGGCCAGATGTTGTGTTCTTGTCTCCACTAGCCCTGTACACATCTCCACATATAATGCACATACACCACACACACTCGTGTTTATACGCACACCACTCCTTTAGTGTGGGGGTCTCTGCAAACACCAGGGCCAACAATGTTATATACGTATATATATCACAGAGAAATGTTACTTAATAAGATATTTCCTTAGAAGACTCTAACAGAGTCTTATGTTAATGGACTGTAACTGCAAAGTGACCAAGAATATTTTTAAGTGAACACCTTAGTTAAACAAGTACGTCTTTTTCAGTTAACTATTTTAAAGACACTGTTTTTTAGCATTGCTAAACCATGTTTCTGGACTCCTGCAGCACATGTGAGTTATCCCCTTTTCAAGGCACTACAGAGTCTATCTTACATGCTGACTGAGCATCTTTACTATGAAATGTGAAATGCTCCAAAATCAGAAACAATTTGAGTTCCTTCATATGCCAGATGCAGGAAATTCACATGATAAGTCATAGTAAAACTATGGGTGCACTCAAAGTAGTGTACTCTTTTAGTACTCTTGGCATAAAATGTCTATGAACTATGATTGGAATTGTGTTTAAACTTGGGTCCCATCCCCTAATACATCTTTCTCCCAAATCCGTGATTAGAACCCCTTTTGTCCTGAAGCATTTTAGACAGTGGACAGTCAACCACTTATCCTTACAGCTTCTTGTTGAATCTACCAGATTATACTGGAAACACCTGAGGTGAGGACACTGCCTGGACCATCTCGGCCTCTCCGGCCTGGTTCACCATTTGAATACGGAAGTTTTATAGGACAGCGACATTACAATAAGCAGTCAGTATGGAACAGACAGCACGAAGGCAGACTGCTATCTCCAACCCCGCACCTACCTGGGAGAAGAAGACCGTCTGTTGAAGCAAATGTGTAGCCACAAAATCCACGGTACTGAATTAGCAGTTTATCAAAATTTGCTGTTGTTTCTGGGAAAAACCAATCCATTTTTCTGAAATCTGGCAAGTGTACTCTTTCATCTGAAATAAAAGAGAACAAGAGGCGGTTTTCATCCCTTGAGAAGATGCAATTCCCTAAATAAATCAACAGTAGGCCATTCTAAACATTAACTTTTTATCATCTGTACTGTTTCTGACTGACAAAATTTCCCTTGGTCAGACTTATTGGGGTGCTATTCCTGTAAAGAAGTGTGAGCGCCTCAGGGACTATCCGAGTCAGTAACTCGCTAGAGCACGTGTGGAAGTAGAACATCACTCCAGAGCGAACAACACTGGGAGGCCTTTCAGAAAAACCTGAGCTCTTCCGTCAGCGTCAGCGTATGCAATGCTTCCTGCTGCCACACATTACATCACCCCAGGACATGAGCAGAAAGAGCTGTTATGTGACCAAGAGGATCATCTTCATGCAGGACATCACAGGTCTTCATACAATGTTAGATGGACAAAACTTTGAATACAGTCCTTTTATTTTATTTTTATTTTTTTGTTTTTGTTTTTCGAGACAGGGTTTCTCTGTGTAGCTTTGTGCCTTTCCTGGAACTCTGTAGTCCAGGCTGGCCTCGAACTCACGGTGGTGGCGCACGCCTTTAATCCCAGCACTTGGGAATACAGTCCTTTTATAACTAGACTGTGTCTCAAAACTGTAGAGAAAGTACCAAACAGGAAGAAATGTCTTTCACTAGTTTGATTGATTAAAGGGTATAAAATGGTTTATTCTTTAGACTTTTTTTTCTCAGTCATTTTTATGTTGTATGTATATGTGAGTGCCTACATATGTATGTATGTGCACTGCATGCATGCCTGGTACTCCAGAGGCAGAAGAAGGGGCTGGAGTCCTCTGGTGCTAAAGATGTAATGCAGGCCATTACTTGGGTCTTCTGCAAGAGCAGTAAATGCTCTTAACCTCTGAGCATCTCTCCTGCCTGTTCTTCTGACCTTTAAAGATAGTTCCTCATACTAGTAGCTTTACTTAGGTTGATAACTAAAATGAATAAATTAGATACAAATGATATATTCATGAAAATCTATTTTCCAAGATTATTGACTTTTACAATAACACATATATTTCTAATAGGTTTGCTTCCAGACCCAAACAGCCAACATCCGGTTTGTCTTGACCTTGTATCTACAACTAAAAGTAAAGCCTAACTTGGAGAAAATAAATGTTTTATCCTGATATGCCCATGATCTCCAGGAATGATAAGCAGGTATAAATTAAATTCTTTCAGAAGAATATTGTCTCTCCCAATTCACTAGAGAATAACCTGATAAAATATTCTGATGAAGAAAAAATTCTGACTCTGGTAGGAAATGACATCTCTAAATCTAAGAACTTGCAGCTTAGCTGAACACTCACAATTGAACTGACTTCAACTTTTCAATTTCATTTCATATCTGCTTAGACATGCTGTTGTAATGAAACCAAATAAGTAATAAAAACTCGTACTAGAGGATTTTAGGGTATCCTATTTAAGCTTTCAATTTTTATGTATTCTAACAATTTATGAAAGGGCATCACTGCTATATTCTTATTTTCTACTTTTACCAAAATAGAATTTGAAAAAGTGCTGTGGAATGGTCTGTATGTCAAATTGCTCTGATTGGTCAATAAATAAAACACTGATTGGCCAGTGGCTAGGCAGGAAGTATAGGCAGGACAAGGAGAGAGGAGAATTGTGGGAAGTGGAAGGCTGAGTGAGGGAGACACTGCCAGCCGTCGCCATGACAAGCAACTTGTGAAGATGCCGGTAAGAGACGAGCCACGTGGCAAGGTATAGATTAATGGAAATGGGTTAATTTAAGATATAAGAACAGTTAGCAAGAAGCCTGCCACGGCCATACAGTTTGTAAGTAATATAAGTCTCTGTGTTTACTTGGTTGGGTTTGAGTGGCTGTGGGACTGGCAGGTGACAGAGATTTGTCCTGACTGTGGGCCAGGCAGGAAAACTCTAGCTACAAAAAAGAAGTTAGTAAATCATCTAATTTCTTTTTTCTGTAAAAAGTTTGAGTATTAAGTTCTAAATCCTACTTTGATATTTCTTATGAATTTTAGATTGACTTTAACTAAGATAGAAAAGGTAAAAAGTTGATGAAATGATAGAAAGCTGACTAATAATGTCAACCTTTCTATAAGAATAAATATATCTTTTAACAGGCCTAAAATCAGCTCAATTAATTGTATAAGGATAAAATGAATAGGTTCATAAATCTCAACTTGATACTAAGAAGATATGTAGCAAAATAACATTCTCTAAAATGGAGCTTTATTTGCAACAAATATAGCAAGATTTTTTCTCAGTACATCAATTACAAAACCCATACTGCTGAAATATAAATGCACAAACACACAAAGCCAAGAAGACATGAAGGACTACAATAAGAATTGATTTCTGGGCAGTAAGATAATCAGTTTGATAATCAGTTTCTATATTTTTTGAGACAGGGTCTCTTGTAGCCCAGTCTGGCCTTGAACTTACTGTGTAGCCTAGGCTGGCCTTGAACTGATTCTCCTGCCTCTACCACCTCCATACTAAAAACTAAATGTGTGTGTCACCATGTCTGTTTTTTTCATATTTTCTATAATGAATACCAGTTTCTCATAATTAAGATGTTCAGTGTTTATCAGAAAGCCATAGAATAAAAATTTTAAAACAAAAAGAGTGACGTTAAGCTAAAGGTAACTTTAAAAAGAGAAGGAAACAATGATTAGTGTGCGTTACCCATGTGCTCCTTTATCCTAGCTATGTCACTTTTCACAGTGACATCATCAAGAAGACCGTGAATCACTTTCTCAGGAAAGAGAAGCTCATGCGTGCCCAGGAACAGCTCCAGGTTAGTGGTCAAATTGCTGAGGACACTAATCAACACTGTCTCATCCTGGAAGCTCATCCACAGACTTGCCAGAGCAATAAATATAGGCTAGAGGGAGAAAAAGACCAAAAAACGTAACTGTGACAGAGTCATCACTATACTCTACAACATGAGCTGTAAAGAATCATTCTCCTACAGTCAAAGTCTGGGAAGCTAGAGCAGACTCATAGTCAGGAGGAGGGAAACCTGTGTTTTCTTTCAAAGCATTTCATTTGGCATAGGTGTTATAAAGTTATTTATTCAGAACGTAACCAAACACATTTGCTCTCCTAAGAAATAGTAATACTTTACCTCAAAAGGCCAAGGAGGAAAATATAGCTGAAAAATTTTGTTTAAAAACTAATGACTCATTACAGTTGATTTATCTGGCCCAATCCTGAATCAAAAGGACCAGGAGAGCATACATGTACATCTTATACACGTCGAGGGAGCTGCAAGCCAAAGCTCTAGATCAGTGAAATACAATATTAATCAATACACAGTAAAGATTAATGACTTCTAGAACACACAGAAAATCAACCAGGCCTCACATTAGAGTTTGTTTTGAAAACCAAGGTTGAGAATGACTGACAAGTTATCATTGTTTCAAATGGTCTCTTTCCATGTGAAATGCATGGACATTTTACACCTACCTTGTTCGGATCAGGGTTGCAATGTTTTTTCTATAAAGTGGTGCTCTTATTCAGAAAGTCGATGCATGGTGGATAAAGAGGCTGCCTTCCTTTCAGCTAAGATATACGCTATCACCTCTGTGCCATAAGCCATCAGTTCTGTGTCAGGCGCAATTTCTGACAGACTATGAATACATTCTCATTCTCCCTCCCTCCTCCCTCTTCCTGCCTCTCTCTTTCTCTCTGCCTTCTCCCCTCCCTCTCCCCTACCCCCATGTGTGTGGGAGTGTATAGAGGCCAAAGGTTGGTGTTGGCTATCTTCCTCAATCTCTTTCCACCCAATTTCTTAAGTCAGGATCTCTCGCTGAACCTGGAGCAGTGATTGGCCAGAAATCCTCCTGGCTCTGTCTACCCAGCACCACACCTTGTTTTTTTACAAGGGTTTTGGGGATCTGAACTCAGGTGCTTGTGTGGTTGTGTGGCAAGCCTTTTACCAACTGAGCTAACTTCTCAGTTCTATAAACACACTTTCAACATTACAATGGACTGCTTCTGTTGCCATAGATACTATGGTCATCATTACTAGAGATTACCATTTCCTTCAGTAGCAACTGCCTTCATCAGACAAACAGCAGGCTCTTACTAAGACATAATCATGAAGGACAGGACCAACTTGTATAAAACTGCTACATATTATATGATATTATTCTAATGGAATACAATAATAATGAATTCTGAACCAATTTATAGGACTCAAAGGGATGTTTGGTCTAAAGAAATTACCCCTGCCATGGTGGCCATATGCCTGTATTCCAGCATCCGGGATGTGGGCACAGGAGGATCCACATTAAAGGACAACATGGGATATCTACTGAGCTATACGGTGAGATGCTGGCTCAAAAAACAAAACAAAACACAAAAAAGCAAACAACAACAACACCATAGCCATAGGCTGGGGAATTCACTCAGCAGTAGAGCGCTTACTTAGTTTGTGCACAGCTGAGTTTGATCGCAGGGGACAAAACGTTTGGACTAGTGAGTGGCTCGGGGGTAAAAGCACTCACAAGCCTGACAACCCAGGTTTGGTTCCAGGATCCCACCAAGAAAGCAGAGGACCAGTTATCGAATGTGTTCTCTGACCTCCACATGTGCAGTGTGGCACGCCCCTTCGCCATAAGAAATAAGTAAATCAAAACACATATAAAAAAGCCCAAGTTACTGAGTGTGGTGGTGCATGCCTGTAATCCCAGCACCCAGGGACAGAGGTCAGTGGTTGTGAATTTGATGCCAGCCTCGTCTACATAGCAAGTTGCAGGTCAGTTAGGGCTACACACTGAGAGTCGGTCTCAAAACCACAAGGTCAAGGAGGACAACAAATACTTACAAAGACTTGTGATGTTGGGACAGCTGTCTTTGATTTTACTATCATTTTCAATTGTTCCAGTTGAGCTGCAAATTGTTTTATCATCATTTCCACTTCTTGAGCACAAGTAATTATATCTGACTAGGAAGACAACATAATTTGTATTAATATTTCATTATTTTATTATAAATACCATGCGTTAGTTAAGCCCTACCTGCTCCCAACCAAGTGACAATGACGTTGTGAGTGCCACTCCCTGCCAAACAATGCATAAAACACATGTTCTGAATTAAAAGTGTTGCAAATACACATATCACTGTTTAATTATAGCATGCTACTAATTGTACTATCGAGTACTAAAGAGAATCAACAACTATGAATTAACTTCTACCAATACAGTTCCACTAAGATCGAACTTAACTTTGCTGTTTCTGCCTTAATCACTGATCACACCAAGGCAATGTAAGTTCCTAAGGTTGCCTCCTTTGGTGAGACACCTGGTTCTCAGGAGACTGCATTATACAGAAAATGCCAGATTTTGTGAGATTAGCTCACCAAAACGGTCTGAAGGAAGATCTCATACTGCCGAATATTATACAATGCTTCCTTCAGCATGTACGGCTCAAGCTCTTTGGTCATGAGTGGATTCTTCGACACTTTCTCAAGGATGGCTGTGTAGCGAAATGCCTGGTCTTGGGCAATCTGAAGCTGGGAGTCGATATGCTGTGTGGTGGTTGGGATTGCTTCGTGGAGAATAGCTGGCACTGTTTGTCAGGGCATGAGAGTTCAGGCATGAGGGAGTGGAGAAAGAATCGGGGAACAAGAGATCAGAAAGTAATGGTATTTTAAACATTAAATTGAGTCAGATTTTCCCCATCAGATTAATAATACTAAGGCATGTTTTTCATGGTCCCACCCCATGCAGAAAAGAACCTGTCAAAACAACAACAACAAACTGTCAGAATAATAATAAAAGGTAGAATCAGATCCATTTTTCTCACTAAAATATAGAAAATTTAGGTAGATTGTGGTGCCATGCGCTGTATTAGCCATGCTCCTTTAGAAAAACCAAACTTAAAATGTATGTCTGAACCTAATCTGGACTCTGAAAATAAACAAAGCAGTCTAGCAATGGAAGGCACTCTCTGACTGATGGAAAATTGATTTTTGTAACTTTTATGTTTATTTAATGTATAGGAGCATTTTGTCTACATTTATCTGTGTAGCATGTGTGTGCAGTACCCACAGAGGCCAGAAGTGGGTGCTAGATCCCATAGAACCTCCCAAGGAGGTTCTAGTTCATGGAATGGTTCTGAGTCACCATGTGGGTGCTGGGAACCAAACCCTGGTCCTCTATAAGAGCAGCAAACATTGAGCCAGCCCTCCAACCCCCAAATTTGACTTTTTATAACAATTTTTTTTGGTGTTTTTTTTTTTTTTTTGGTTTTTTTCGAGACAGGGTTTCTCTGTGTAGCTTTGCGCCTCTCCTGGAACTCACTTGGCAGCCCAGGCTGGCCTCGAACTCACAGAGATCTGCCTGCCTCTGCCTCCCGAGTGCTGGGATTAAAGGCGTGCGCCACCACCTCCCGGCTTTATAACAATTTTTAAAATAAAAAATAAACAACAACAAAACCCTCATTGGGTTGGAGGTGTAACTCAGTGGTTTCCAGCCCCCAAAAGGTAGGCTGAAAAGAGAGAAGGCAGGCAGGGTGGCTGGCTGGCTTCCCCTGTTCCTAGTTCGATCAGTGGTCAGTGATTAGATAAAAGACAGTAATGCCTTATCAATGGGCCTGCAGAAGTCTAAAATTCACATGATCACTTCTACCATTAGATCCTCTATTAGATATTTCTTAGTATTTTCAAACTTACAAATAAAGAATGCACCAAAAGGTGCGGTGGTACACGACTTTCATCCCAGCACTTGGGAGGCTGAGGCAGATGGATTTCTGGGAACCAGAGGCAAGCCTGGTCTACATAGCAAGTTCCAGGCTACTCAAGGCTACAAAATGATATCTATCTAAAAAATAAACATAAAGCATTATGTATACAACAACATAGACGTTGTTCCTGAACTTGCAGATCTTCAAAGATCTCCTCTTTGGTCTTTTCATCCCATTAGTTACACCAGCACCAGTTTCTTTCTGAGGTAATTTTAACTTTTAAATCAATTTTCCTCCCTTTGGCTGGCGTGAAGTAAGCATCACCCTCCAGTGAGTTAAAGGGGTGGCATCTGGGCTGCTCCTCACTCCAGTCACTGACTCAATTCCCTGCACTAGCTTCATGATACAGAAAATGTAAAGTTTTGCCTCTGCAAGGTAAGAACTACTAACTATTATGAAAAGCAATTGCTTCTAACAAACAGACTGCAAATATTTTTTCTTTTGGTTTTTTGAGACAGTTTCTCTGTGTAACAGTCCTGGCTGTCCTGGCACCTGCTTTATAGGTCAGGCTGCCCTAGAACTCACAAAGATCCACCTGCCTCTGCCTCCCGAGTGTCAGTGCTGTGGTGCATGTCCTCTGCTCTGCTGTGAAGTTAAGCCTTCCACACACAGCACCTTCAGACTTAGCCTGATGCACACTCACAGTCATCAATGCCTTCTCCTCCTTTCCCACAGTCTCTGTTAAACAACCGGATGCCGGTAACAATCATGGTGAGCTCTTTCAGCTGCCGTTCCTTGTCCTTTTTACTAAGAGTCAGAAACGTCCCCAGCTCGGCCTGAGGAAAAACACTCTGCAGAGCAGCTGCAAGAGATGGAGAGAAACACCCAACGCTGAGACAAAGGCGTCAGAACTTTAGACTGTCCGCAGAGCGGGCTGTGCCTTTCTAGTGTTACCTATACAATTTATGATACAATTTTTTTGTTGTTGTTGTTTTTCGAGACAGGGTTTCTCTGTGTAGCTTTGCGCCTTTCCTGGAACTCACTTGGTAGTCCAGGCTGGCCTCGAACTCACAGAGATCCGCCTGGCTATGCCTCCCGAGTGCTGGGATTAAAGGCGTGTGCCACCGATACAATTTATAAAGCATGCAGAGCAAAGGTCACCAAATACCAGGGCTGAGCTGCTGAAAATAATGTTATTGCCTCGTGTCTCTGTCTTTATTAACTTATCCATTGGTAAAAACAATCTTTCTAAGTAAAAGACTCGGAGTAGAAAAATCTATACTTTAAAATAACAATGGAAAAATGTAATAGGAAGGCTGGATACCTTGCCTAGTCCCACATTATTTCTTGTTTTTATTTTTGTGGGGGGAGGGGGCCCCATGTACTCAGGCTGGCCTCAAACTCGGTACATAGCTTAGGATGGCCTTGAACTCCTGATTTTCCTGTGCCCCACCTCCCAAGTGCTGGGGACTACAGACAGGCTCACTAAGTCTAGCTCTGTCCTCATTTTAAAGTATAAATTGGATGAGCACTTCCCGAGAATACACAGATTTCCTCTTTCAAGATCCTGATCGGATGACAGACCCAATGCCTGCACCCATATGAGTCATTCCTTTCCGGCTGTCCCAGTCACCCCATTGGCCCAGGATCCTTATCAATGCTGCTAATGTTCCACTAATGAGGTGGAATAGGTCACTGGGTATGCAGCCTCTAGGAAAATGAACACTGTATCACTGACTAGAAATGCTACTCGAAGTTCCCAATTGAAACATGGTGTGGAAGGTATCTGAGGGTTATCTTAAGATTTACTTTGATTTATGTGTTATATGGTTGTCTTTGTGTGAGTGTGTACCATGTGTGTTCCAGTGCCCTTGGAGGCCAGAAGAGGGCGCTGGATTCCCTGAAGCTGGGTTACAGGCAGTTTGTGACTGCCTGACCTGGGTGCTGGGAATTGGACTCAGGTCCTCTGGAAGAGCAGCAAACATTCTTAAACACAGACGAGTCTACAAGGTTTTTGGTTTTGGGTTGTTACTGGTTTTTGTTTTTTGTTTTTTTCTAAGTTGCCTTTTTAAATTTATTATTATTATTTTAGTTAGCACAGAAAATAATGTTTCATCATGACATTTTCAGATTGCATGATTGTACTTTGGTCATATTTACACCCCCTATTACCTTCCTCTGCCCCTCTTCTCCACCCCTCCTGCTCCCCTCAGACAGTTCCCGTTCTGAATTCATGTCATACACGTATTGATCCCACACATGGGAGAAAATGTGGACTAGTTTGTCCTCCTGCCGCTCTCCTGCTCTCCCCTTGGGCTCTTTCCTCCCTCCTTACTGTCCCCCTCTACTTTCAAGTCATACATACCTAAGCATTTCCAGGAGCCTGAGTAAGTTTGAACTTCTTATGTGTGCTGATTTTCTTTCAGACAAAAAGGAAGTGACAATCTTTAACATATTTTATAAAATACAATGGCGGGGATCAGGCAGATGGCTAGGTGGGTCAAGTGCTTGCCACACAAGTGTGACAACCAGAGTTTGTGTCCCCAGGACCCCTAGAAGCCAATAAATACTGGGCAGGTGCCAGTCCGACCTGTAAGCTCAGAATTATAGAGGAGGAGCTTGGAGATCCCTGGGGCAAGCTGGCTAGCTAGACTGGCCAGAACTGGATGGAGAGTTCTGGGTTCAGTGAGAGACCCTGCCTTAGTAAAGTGGACAGCATGGAGGAAGACAGATGGTGTCAACTCTGGCTTCCACATACACAGGTGCACATGTGCACACAAGCCCCTGGCCACACAAAGGCCCAACACACACATGCCCAGACACATACATAAGTACAGTGGGCATGTGGGTTCACTATGGAATGGACCATTCCTGCTTTTTACCTGTTGCCTCTCTGACAATCTTGATGTCTGTGGGGGACCCAAGCCCAGATCGCAGTAGCACATAGCTGACAATCTTTCTGTAGAGACTTTCCAGTTCTTCTCTAGCACATGCTCTGTTGTCTGTAATTTCTCTGCTAATGGCGCCTAATCTGGACTCTAAGACGCGGTGATGTTCTTCAAGAAAGTCCTCTAAAATTAGTAAATAACAGTATTTCACATTTTCAATACTTAGACTTCTCCTCAGACAAGGACTAGAGAAAAACTGGTTAGTGTGTGGTATTTCATGAAAACAAAGGCCCTGGCACCCTGTCTCATTGCTAGAATTGAACCCCGCTGAGCTACATCCCCAAACTCTGACTTCCTAAGGTGTAATGATGAAATGAAAAACGGTGACTGGTACAAAACCTAAGTACAGAAATCTAGTAGGAAACACTACTGTAGCCATTTCAATGGAGTACTCTGTCAAAACACACATGTAAGCAGCCATAAATATGTAAACATATGTAGTACAATATTAAATATGTAGTCTATTCTTCTTCTTCAATTATACTTATTTTAGTTCTAGGTGAATGTCCTCTAAATAATATTACTGATAATGCAATATTACTTTGTCTTAGGTTTTCTATTGCTCTCTAAACATCATGACCAAAAGCATCTTGGGGAGGAGAGGGCTTATTCAGCTACAATTCCACATCACAGGTTATCTCTGAGGGGAGTCAAGGTAGGAACCTGGAGGTGGGAACTGAAGCAGAGGCCATAGTGGAATGCTGCTTACTGGCTTGCTCCCAGGAGTTAGCTCAGCCTGCTTTCTTGTTCAGCCCAGGGATGGCACTACCCACAATAGGCTGGGCCCTCCCACATCAATCATTAATCAAGCAAACACCCCGGAGACCTGCCTCCAGGTCAACATGATGGAGTCATTTTCTCAACTGACCTTCCCTCTCTCCAGTGCCCCTTGCTTGTGCTAAGCTGTCAAAAACAAACAAACTCACCAGCAAATGCATAAAGAATTTATCCTTCCTTTTTCTTCCTGTGTCATGCTGTGGCTGGAGACTACCCACTGCCATAACAATTCTTGTAACTTAGTAAGCACTCCCAATCACAATTCAACAATGCAACATCATATCTATAATTTCACTATAAAAGCAACTGAAAGCTTTCCTAAACTGAAAAAATAGGAATTAAGTTTCTCTGATTTCATGGTTATGTTTTGCTTTGGAATTTCATTGTTATTAAGCAAAAATGTAAGAAATATTATTTTACATATTAGCATAACTGAACATCTACTATACAGAAAGAAAAAAATAAAATCACCAAATGGTTAATAATGAGTGCATTATAAAAATAGTTTATTTTCCTTTTCCCCCATTTCTGACATTTCTTTGATGTATGCCTTAAATATAATATAAAATATAAATAGTAAATATAATATATTCTGAAGTAAAATTCTCCACAATATACTTTACATAATTAAATATTACATAATTTAAATATTATAAAATAATAAACTAAGAATAAGAAAAATCTAAAAAATAAGAATTTTAACTTCAATGGTTTAGTTTCTAATTGTTATATATTAGTGCCATAAAGGTTAAAAACAGATAAATGTGGAAACATAATTTTATGAGCCACAGTTTTGAATTGGCTTTTAGCATTCATAAAGGCAACTGGCATTTTTCTCATTTGGATTTCCAACACTATTATATTCTTAAACATGGTGAACTGTTTCTCAGAGGTCATATGTTAAAGAGTTGGTATCCAAGTCCACTCTATTATTAGGAGATGGTGGGACCTTCAAGAGGTGGGATCCAATGGGAGGTGTGTGGGTCACTGGAGGTGTACCCTTTGGGGACCCCCGTCCCATCTTCTCTTCTGCATCCCAATCATGAGGTAAGTGTCTCAGGCTCATGTTTCTGCCATGATATGCCTTCATGGCCCAAAAGCAACAGGGCCGTCAAAGCATGGACTAAAATCTCCAAAGTTGGGTCCAAACAAGCTTTTTCTTCGTGTAAACTGATTATCAGAAGTATTTCATTCATAATAACAGAAGGCTGCCTAACAGATCAAAGATGAAAATATCAAGACTGACAAAATTAATTTCATTAAACAAATCTGTTGTCAACCAAATTAAATTTTTCTTACCTAAAATGCAGTATTTTAAAAACCCTTTTAAAATGTATGAAAATAGAAATGTATGTTACCTCGACTTGTGTAATTCATATCAAAGTAGACCTGCATCTTAATGGTGTCCAGGGATGGATTTTTACTGTCCAATAGTCGAGCCACACAAAGCTAGAAGAGAACATCGCATGAATGCTTCTACTATATTTTCTGAAACACTCCAGTGGTTGGTTGGTTTGTGTTTTGAATTTTGAGACAAGGTCCAAATATAGCCCAGGCTGGTCTCAAACTCACTATGTAGCTGAGGATGATCTTGAACTTACTATCCTCTTGTCCCCACCTCCCTCCCCACTGCTCAAATTGTCACAACTGGTTTTATGCAGTGAATGCCTGGGTATCTAATGCAGGGCTTTATGCATACCAGGCAAGCAGTCTATCACCTGAGGTTTACTCTTCTAAGTTATTTTCAGAAAGAGAAGAAAATGGGCAGAGCATGATGGTACACTCCTGCAATGCCAGCATCTCAACTCAGGAAACAGCAGCAGGAGGACCTGCACAGGCTTCAAGCCAGCCAGAACTACAAAGAGAGATAGAGAAACAGAAACAGAGAGACACAGAGAGGGACAAAGAGGTGGGGGGGGGGGGGGAGACAGGAGAGGAACAATAAAAACATCACAGCAGTGGTCCTGATGTTGGTCCTGATGCTCAGGCAACAACCTCTTTTATTGTAATTTTTTCTTCCTCACAGACCTCAGGGTTTACAGTTTACTCAACCAACATAGTAAGTTCTCTCCCAGGTCTAACTGCAGGCAGGAAACCTGACATGTTGGTGAGGTTAAGCTGTCGAAATGTGAGTATATTTTCCATAAAGCTTGTACTCTAGTCTAGAACTCTCCCAGAATTCCTGTTTATTATTTGGAACTGATTAGCATCCTGCTGATGGTAGAGGTCACATTTGATAAAACACTTCTGCAGTTACCCTCATCATCTCCTCACAACATGTCTCGATTTCTACTTCAGTTTCTAAATTTCTTCTGCTCCCCTCTCCCAGCACACACATAAATGAGGCATGCCCTTCCTCTGCCTCTCTAGACTTGGAGGATCACCGGAGCATCTCCTTCCTTCCCACCTGGCCTCCTTGGCTTCCTCCCACCCAATCTCTGCCCTTCATACACCTTGGCCTCCATATACTGCTGTTGGAAGGCACACAGCAGCATCATTCTCAACCCATCTCCCAGCCCCACCAGCCCTGCTCTCCCAGGACTACAAGACTAAGCAATCTGTCTGTGCACATAGATCCCTAGCAGGGTGGGGATAGAGGGTAGGGGTTAGGGGTAGGGGGTTAGGGGTGATGTAGAGTGGACTTTACAAATCAAAAGGTGTCATCATTCAGTGGCTTTTAATTGAGAAAAACAGGAAAAAATTATTGTTGTCAATATTACCATGTATTTGCCGGGTGATGGTGGTGTACATCTTTAATTCCAGCACTCAGGAGGCAGAGGCAGGGGGATCTCTGTGAGTTTGAGGCCAGTCTGGTCTACAAGAGCAAGTTCCAGGACAGCCAGGGCTGTTACACAGAGAAACCCTGTCTTGAAAAACAAAAACAAACAAACAAAAGATTACCATGTACTCTGAGAAGTTGTGCATATATCATATTAAAGGTATACTGAACTAGAGGCTTTCCAACTCAGCTGAGTTAGGGAGAAAAAAACAAAAACCTCTTTCTGGGCCCCTCCTTGAATCTCCTCCATAACTTCTATAGTTTCTGACTATCATAGTCATTGACCTATTGATTGTCACAGTCATTTCCCTATTGACTATCACAGTCATTGACCTACTGACTATCACAGTAATTTCCCTACTGACTATCACAGTCATTGCCCTCTTGACTATCACAGTCATTGCCCTATTGACTATCACAGTCATTGCCTTACTATCACAGTCATTGACCTATTGACTATCACAGTCATTGACTTATTGACTATCACAGTCATTGCCCTATTGACTATCACAGTCATTGCCCTATTGACTATCACAGTCATTGACCTATTGACTATCACAGTCATTGCCCTATTGACTATCACAGTCATTGCCCTATTGACTATCACAGTCATTGCCCTATTGACTATCACAGTCATTGCCTTACTGACTATCACAGTCATTGCCTTACTGACTATCACAGTCATTGCCCTATTGACTATCACAGTCACTGCCTTACTGACTATCACAGTCATTGCCTTACTGACTATCACAGTCATTGACCTACTGACTATCACAGTCATTGCCCTATTGACTATCACAGTCATTGCCCTATTGACTATCACAGTCATTGCCCTATTGACTATCACAGTCATTGCCCTATTGACTATCACAGTCATTGCCTTACTGACTATCACAGTCATTGCCCTATTGACTATCACAGTCATTGCCCTATTGACTATCACAGTCATTGCCCTATTGACTATCACAGTCATTGCCCTATTGACTATCACAGTCATTGCCTTACTATCACAGTCATTGACCTATTGACTATCACAGTCATTGCCTTACTATCACAGTCATTGCCCTATTGACTGTCACAGTCATTGACCTATTGACTGTCACAGTCATTGCCCTATTGACTATCACAGTCTTTGCCTTACTGACTATCACAGTCATTGCCCTATTGACTATCACAGTCATTGCCCTATTGACTATCACAGTCATTGCCTTACTATCACAGTCATTGCCCTATTGACTATCACAGTCATTGCCTTACTGACTATCACAGTCATTGCCTTACTGACTATCACAGTCATTGCCCTATTGACTATCACAGTCATTGCCCTATTGACTATCACAGTCATTGCCCTATTGACTATCACAGTCATTGACCTACTGACTATCACAGTCATTGCCCTATTGACTATCACAGTCATTGCCCTATTGACTATCACAGTCATTGCCCTATTGACTATCACAGTCATTGCCTTACTGATTATCACAGTCATTGCCCTATTGACTATCATAGTCATTGCCCTATTGGATATCACAGTCATTGCCCTATTGACTATCACAGTCATTGCCCTACAGACTATCACAATCATTGCCCTGCTGCTAAGAACAGCATTTACACCACAAAGTCAACAAGGCCAGCTCTAGGCTGTCCTGTCGGCTCATGGAGTCCCTGAGGCATCATTCTGATAAGACCCACCCCCTCACCCCCAAGCTCCAGGTTCCCAAATCTCTTCCCCACCCTTACCACATCTGCAGATAGACCTACTGTCTCTCCTTCAGGTTGTGAGAGAAGGTGGGGATTAGTGAAATGTTCCCCTGTCATTTCTGCGTGTCAACAAAACATCTGCACACAGATTTGGGGAAGTTCATTTCTAGTCCTTTGTGTGAAGAAAGGAAATAAGTTCACTAAGGCCAGGACAGAAAGCAATGTTGAGTTTTAAGGAAACACAGAGGAAGGAACTAAACTGGAGTCTCAAACCTAAGACACTGAACACTACAGATGTCTAAAGTCCTCATCCTCTTTTCTTGCAAAAATTGGTTTTCAAGGACATTTACTTGCTTGACAAGATCATTTTTGCTTTGATTTTAACACAATTACATGGAATCCAGTATATGGATCTCAAGTTAGAACTATTTAACTCCATCCACACTACAGGTATATTATAGAGCAGCTGTTGATAGCGTCAATGTAAGATAAAGAGCAGGGTCTCACCAGAACACAGTGGCAGACAATGTTAGCCCTACATCTGGGCCTGACTGTTCCTACTAACACAGAACCACAGGTTTGCATTATATGTGCTAGGGCCACTTTCGATCTCATTTGACCAATAAATATAAACATCTGGTAAAGGTTCAGAGAAATTCTTATTTTTTGGATAGAAAATCACAACAGATCTGACTGGAACAACTATTTTTCCCTTTGTCTTTCCTCTTCTTCCATCAGGAGGTATGACAATTACTCTGTGACGCAGATGAGAGCCTAGGAAGCCAGGAACAACATATGTACCTCCCAACTTTGTTCTATTAGAAAATAACCCCTCAAACTCGCTCTGTAGACCAGGCTGGCCTCGAACTCCCAGAGATCCACCTGCCTCTGCCTCCTGAGTGCTGGGATTAAAGTCGTGCACCACCACCACCGCCCAGCTACTTTGTGTTTCTTTATAATGTTGCTGAAGACAATGACGGATAATACAAATTTTGTATTTAAAATTGAAAGTAAATAATCCCAAACATGAGGACTGTCAATCACCTTAACAAGTTTCTGCACATCACTTTTGATGAGGGTCCTATCCATGTTAAAGCCATTGCTTGGATCCAGGACAACAGCTTTCACCTAGAAACAGAGCATATTAAGTAATTTTTATTTCATATTACGAAATTAATTCATTTCCATTTTTAGCCAACTGCCTTGACGTTCACCTAGTTTTCTTCCCCCCCCCCCCCACTCACTAGTGTTTTCATTAAAGTCTGGAGATAGACAACAATAAGCATCAAACTTGAATATGGGCCAGAAAACTACACACCAAAAAGGCTGAAAGCAAGGGTTACCGTTTTAGTGCGGGAAGCTATGGCAAATCTCATGTTTTTACTGTGTGTTGTCTCTCAAACCAAGAACACAGAAACCAAATCAAGGGGTAACTTTTAAAATATATATTTGAACAAAAAATATACGTTAAAACTTCACAGCAGAACATTATCGAGGTCTCTAAGCATCCCAGCATCCCCCAAATCCATCACTGTAAATCTACAGCACGCTTTACAGACTTGGAAAAGATGTTTTTCACTAACTCATCTGATGATCTCAACATGTTTTCAACTAAAAAGCATGTAGGAAAGCTCCCAAGAATTTTAAAGAAAAAACTTGGTATCATATTTTTAAGATTTTTGATAAAACAGTAATTTGCAAAATTAATTATTCTTACCATAAAAGCAACCACTGTTTCTGAAGCAATCTCTCCATGGGTTGCACATTCTTGTCCTATTTCTCGTATAATATTCTTTATAACACTTTCTGCTTGAGTGGGAGGCATTGTGGCTAAATAAAGCAATGATTTTTTTTTAGTAATTTTGCTGATATATTTTCCTCCCTCCTTTTTTCCATTTTAAATGACTTTATCAATGACAGAGAGTAACTGGGATGTCCCCCTTATTTAAATGATGACACCATCAAAAATATGTATCGTGACATTTTTTAAAAAAAATAGCCAGGTATGATGGGACATGCTTTTAATCCCCAGTACTCGGAAGGTAGATGAAGGCACTTCTCTATCAGTTTAAGTCTATCCTAGTCTACATAGTGACCCAGGGTTACATGGTGAGACCCTGCCTCAAAAACAAAATACAAAACAGAAAAAAAAAATTGAAGCTTAACAGAATTTGGGAGAAAAAAAGTGAAAAAACTAATCCCCCATCTGTGTAGGTAGCAAGAATACATTTTGTAAGAGAAAATGCTTATCAATACATTCTCTAGAGGATTTTTCACAACTGTAGTATAATTTCATAACTGTAAGAATTTTTTTCTCGGACTATTCCATCCTTGGGATATGGACTCTAACAAAAACTTAAAAACAAACAATGAAAACGTGAGAGTTATGAACCTCGAAAAAAGAACTGGCTATAATTTCATCTATTATAAACTAGGAAAGTGGCAATTATAAGTCAGGGCTCCTGATTTTCCCCTATCAGTTAACACCAGGAACGTTCAGGTAAAAGGAAAACCGAAGGCAGGAGCGTTCAGAGGGGTAAAGAAGCCTTAGGCGGTTTGTATGGGAAACCAGCCAACCTGGAGTCCATCACATCCAACCACATCTACCTCTAGATAAGACAAGCCTCTTATCTCTTTGGAAGCCAGTTTGCTCAACCGAAAAAGATGGGTGTTGTTATCACCTTCTACTGAACTTCTGAGTATATTGTGGTTAGAAAAGTTCGTGGCTTGGCACAAGTACCCAAGCAACGCGCCAGAGCGAGTGTCTGGGGTAGAGTCTGAGACGGATGGCCACACAGCCAGAGCCAGCCGCTCCGTCCTGCGCGCTTGCGCAGAGCGGGGGGCCGACCACCCACCCCTGTCAGTTACCAACCACCAGCACCAGCTTCGTAGCAGTCGGACGTCCGTCTTCTCTCCTGGTACACCCGTCGTTTAAGGGTAAGGGGTTCCCGGGGCTCTGGCCCCTGCCGGAACACCAGCCAGCGGCGGCTCTCCCGGCCAGCCCCAGAGCCCTAGCAGCGGACGCGTAACCGTGGAGACCGAACGCGACGCCAAAAACGGGGGGCGGGGCCAGGCCTTGGGGGTGGGGGCAGGGGGCGGGGCGAGCGAAGAGCACGGAGGAGCCGCTGGGATGGGGCTCCTGGGGTGGAGCCTTGAGAAGAAAGGTGTGGGTTCACTTCTCAGTCTCCCAAGAGAGAAAACAAAAGAACTCAAGTTCGAGCGAGAAAGGTGTTTTCGCTACACCTCAGTATTAAGACAATGAAACACGAGTTCTGAAACAAATGTTGGGTGTACAGACGTACTGTACGTGTTAACTTGCTAGTGCGGAAACATGGAAAAACGCATCCGTTGACGAGAATGAGAAAGCCTGGGGTTCTTGGAGTTACCAATGTTCATAGTTTTTTCAAAGGAATGCTTTCATTTCTTTTGCTCAAAGGAAGACTGTATGCTGGTGCTCCAAAATGCCAAAATAAAACTTTTCATTCGGGAAGTGATTTCAAACCGGATGTGGCGATGCGGGCCCACACAGTCCCAGCCCTTGGGATGCTGAGATAGGAAAATGCAGTTTTAAGACACCCTACAATGTATAGTGAGACTCTGCCCCCACCACCCAGAAGATGCAAGTAAGCAAACCTCTGTGTTTGGAATTGGGATAATTTTTTTTTTTTTTTTTTTTTCAGAGAAGGTAGCACCATGTAGTCTTGGATGATCTGGAACTGGACTTGTAGACCAGGCTGGTCTAGAATTCACAGAGATCTACCTGCCTCAGCCCCCCAAGCGCTGGTCATGCCTGGTCAATGATGGTGGTTTTGATTCTTAAAAATGTTTGTTGCAAGGTTGGAAATAGGACTCAGAGGTTATTAGCACTGGCTGCATTTCCAGAGGACTGACTTTGATTCCCAGTACCCACAAGGCAGCTCATAACTGTCTGAACTCTAGTGCCAGGAGAGCCAACTCCCTCTTCTGGTTTCTGTAGGTGCCAGGCTCGTGGGAGGTCCAGAGACATACTCCCTGGCACAACACCCATGCACATAAAATAAAATAATAATACTGTTTGTTGGGTGAACATAAGGAGCAGTATTTTTTATTTTTTATTGTATCTAGTTATTTTTGAGAAGCACATGAAACAACACACTCGTGAAGGTCACAAACAGCCTGCAGGAGTCACTTCTCTCCTACCACATTTCCTGGCTGAGATATCCTAACCAACTATTCTCGTTACTTTGTTGCTGTGATGCACACCATGACCAAAAGCATCTTGGGGACTATCGAGTTTAGATAGCTTTCACTTACAGGTGAGGGAAGGAAAGGCAGGAACCTGGAGCAGGAGCCATGGAGGAACACGGCTTACTGGCTTTCTCACTAGCTTATGTTTAGCTAGCTTTCTTTTTTAAATTGTTTCAAATTTTTATTTATGGATTTATTTGATGTGTGTGCGTGTGTCTGGTAGGGGTCCCTGTGGAGGCCAGAGAGGCCGTCAGATCCTTTGGAGATGCAATTACAGGCACTTATTTGTAAGTCACTTGATGTGGATGCTTTGACCTGAACTATTGTCTTCATGGCTTCGCATCAAGTGCTCTTCATAGCTGGGCCTTCTCTCCAGCCCCATGGCTAGCTTTCGTATACAGCCCAAACCCACCTGCATAGGGATGGTGCCACCCACAATGGGCTCTGCCCTTCCATATCAGTCATCAATCAAGACAATCTCTTACAGATAGGGCCTCAGGCCAGTCTGATCTGGCCAATCCCTCAGTTGCAGGTCTCTCTGACTATAGGATGTGTCAAGTTGACAATAAAAACCAACCAGGACATGAACATTATTTCGAAGGGACAAAAGTCAAGCCTGCACAAAGATTAAAAGCAGAGCTTAACCAACAAAGTTCTGTTTAATTTTGCTGAGTTTATTTCTCTCCTTTTTCAGACAGGATCTTGCTGTTTTGCAGGATGGTCTCCATTTTACAATCCTCTGCCTCAGCCTCTCAAATGCTGGCATAAAGGTATGCACCATCACAGCTAGCCAGAGTTTTATTTGCGTATGTGTGTGTGGTATGTGCATATGTGTATATGCATGCTCATGTACCTGTGGGCACATGGCTGGTACATGTGCAATGTATGCATGTGGAGGTCCAGGAGTGACATTAGGTTTCTTCCTTATTTGCTGTCCACCTTATATACTAAACCAATAGCTCCTGCTTTCAGTTAGTTTGGTACTTAATTGGCAGCAGGATCCTTCTCTACCTCCTATGGGATGAGGTTACAGGCAAGCCACGACACCCATCTGCCTCTTTAGGTGGGTTCTGGGGACCCTCAAGATTGTGTAGCAAATGCATTTTGCTGCTGCTACTGCTGATGGTGGTGGTGTCTTAGGGTTTGAAATCTTTCTAGCTTTCTTGCTTTTTCCTTTCTTCTTCCTTCCTTCAATGATAGGAATCAAACCAAGCACTCCACAGATAATAAGTTAAGTGCTGTGTCACAAAGCTGAATCACTGTCCCTAAGTTTATCTTCTCCTGAGATAGAAAGGCCTAGCTGGGTCCAGCTGAGGTCAGCCAACCCCCAGCTAAGCGGAACATGTGTGATGAGTGTTAGTTTAAGCCACTGGACTTGGGGATGGTTTAGTAAAGTCTTACAGTTGTAGTTTATTGGTAACCTTTCAATGATCTAAATTTTCATTTATACTACAGATAGTAAGCTAGGCATACTGGCCCACAGCTGTGATCCCAGCATCCAGGAAGCTGAGACTGGAGAGTCAGGGTTCAATGACAGCCTGGGTTTTATAATAAAATCCCACCACAAATAAGTATCTACTACTGTTGTGAAGAGTGTGTTAATGCTCATATAGCACTTGGTACGGTGTCTATAAATAAACTTGGGTGCTATTATCATCACTATTATGACAGATTGGACTTCTAGTCTTTATGGAACTAATTTTTCCTTGTTCTAATATGGCATCAATTTAAAAAGAAGCACAAAGAAGCTAGAATACATTAAGAGAATAATAAAAGGAATCTTGTCAGGAAAAATGAGAAGGAATTGTATATGTCTTGAAAAAAATGAAGGCAATAAAACTATTATTTTTGCTAGAAAAGAGTCTGGGCTTTGCTTGTTTCAGAAGACCAGGTTAGAAATCTACATACAGTGATGGATTTAACTTAAAAGAAAGTAAGTAGGACTGACAAATTTTGAGTAAATGCTATTCTGTTGGAAATTTTTATCCCCAGCTAAAGGACCGAGGAAGATGGGTGTGCCAGAGTATCAGAAGCAAGCCAGGGAAAGCTGGAGAGGCCAGTGATACCTGACTATGTTTGGGTTACATTGCAAAGCAGAATAAGGAACTTTACAAAGAAGGAGACAAGGTCTCCTTAAAGAGGGTGGTTTAGTTTGGGGAGCTCCCCACATTCAGTGAGACAGAAAACCAACAGCAGACTGTGGGAACCAGAGACGCTTAGAAAACTGGCACCATGCGTTCAGTAACAGACATTTTCAAGAGCAGATAAAGAGGAGGCACCCAGTGCAACAACAGCATCGCAGAAGGAAACAGTGGGAAAACCTTCTGCTTGGTGCTAGATGCTTGGGGTTAATGCTACATTTGACAGGGCAGTTGCAAGATGCTGTTTCATAATGACCCTACTTAGGGCTGGAGAGATAGCTCAGCAGTTAAAAGAGCTTCAGCTCAAGCATGAGGACCCGAGTTTGGATTCTAGCACCCACATAATAAGCCAATGGGGTCCCACGTGTGGCTGGAACCCTGTCACCGAGGGATGTGGAGACAGGAAGATAATTGGGGCTTGCTGGGTGCAAGCGAGTCAGAAACCCTGTCTTAAAGAAACTAGGTAGAGAATGATAATAGTCCATGCCCACTTCTGGCTTCTGTGCATGTGTAGGCGTGCACACCCTCATACAGATGAACACACACACACACACACACACACACACACACACACACACACACACCACTTGCACAGGGAGGGAAGAGGGGCTCAAGCATGCCTGAGCAGCCTGCGAGCCTACATGAATCCCAGTCCTGGGAAACTCCCAGCGGTGGCACTACACCACAGACTTAAGTAAGTTCCCCAGGATGCGGCCAGACTGTGGGCAACTGTGCAGTGTTCAGCACGCTAGAAACCTGCGCACAGGCAGAGTACTCTGCAGGGGACCTTCTGCACAGCCCTAAGCCTTACTCTGGGCTAGGATGCACCACCCAGGGGTGGGGTGAGGCAGGTCCGTGAGGGTAATTCCTGGAAGATTAATTGAATGGGCAAACCCCTAGAATGGGCAGCATCTTCCAGCAGCAATCCAGCTTCGAAAAGGCTTGAGGGAAAGGCAGTGCCTGCCCTCCTCCACTCCTTGCTGATAAGTGCATCTGCTCTAGTCCTGCCGCTGCCGCCGACAGAGCCCAGCTTGTGTAGCTTTCCAACATGAGTGGAGACCAACAGCTCTCCAGGACTCCCCCAGGCCTTCAGCACCAGATTGAAACTGCTGAGACATCTGGACTCTTGGAACTACAAGATTCTGAACCTCTGTAGAGATGGCCATTGTTGGTTCCCTTTATAACATCTATCAGTTCTGTTCCCCTAGAGTGCCCTGAAATCCTTGATAGTGGTTGTTCAGTTGGAAGCTCTGCTTCGGTCCTACTACCCCTTATTCCAAACCCCACCCCTCTCAGAAAGTCCGCCAAGCCACGGCTCCTCCCCCAGAGCTGTTCAAGACTCCGCCTACGGGGTATTTAAACTGACTCTTCCAGGCTGGCCATGTGGTTCTCCCCGTCTCCTCTCCCCATCTCAGGGAGCTGGGAAAGGTCACCTGGGAACGGTTTGCCCAATAAACCTGGACTTTTATTGATTTGGCTTACTGCATTGGCAGAGAGACTTATATAGGGGTTCGGAAACCTTTCAGTGGTTTTGTCGGTGCTCACTTTATAATTGTTTACTCCACAGTGCATGTGCTGTGGAATAAACAATTATATCTTTTGTATATGTCACATTTTATAATTAAAAGTAAAGATGCAACGTTAAAGAATATCTCTACATTTAATGATGCCTTTTGACTGCCAACCACTAAAATTGAGTCTTATTTTAACAAAAATTGTTAAAAGTTTAAAAATATACTGTGCTTTTTACACTGTTTCTCCATTGTTCTCCATTATTAGCAATCTGCTGCAGAGCAATTAGCCTAATTTTTTTTTAAAACAGAGCCATGATGATGACCTAATAATAAATGCCATATACCAGGTCTGAAAGTGTGAGCATCACAGAGCTGGTGTTGGCTGTCTCTTTCCCAGTTTAACTCTTCTTCTTTACAAAGAAGCTGGATAAATGAGGAGATGTGTCTTCAGGGAAACGGTGACAGAGGAATTATGAAATAAGCAAGACTAAGCAAGCTACCTTTATTCTAGAGTCTCCGAGGATGTGCATAAGCTATTTCCAGTCAGCAGGATCTCAGGATTTTAAAGCCTCTTCCTTACCAAGATTCCACTTTAGAGGTTACTTACATGAGCACTACTATAAAAAGGCAGGAAAAAACAACATGGTTGGTTCTGACATGAAAATCGCACAGCTTTTTAAGTTCCTTTATTGGACTCCTCAAAACGTGCTTTTTTTTTTTTTTTTTTTTTTTTTGGTTTGCTTGTTTGACTTCAACTGCCTTTAAGGGTTAAGATGAACAATAAAAACCATCAGTACTTCATTTCCTGTCTCTTGGTTGCAGTAATCAATCAGTGGGGTCAGGAGACCTTAGGATCTGATTTTCATACCTAAATCAAGGGGAGGAGGAATTGTGACCTTACAAGCCTATTAGCTCCTCCTCCTCTTTCAGGAATTACAAGGGAAATTAAAACAAAATGAAAAAGAAGCGAACCCAGGGATTATATTGTGAACATATGTCAGATTCAGAAGCCAAGTAGTTTCACGCATGTGGCCCTGACAGAAACCCCTGTGCTGTTAGGGCCCCAGATGCAGTGGTTCCTAGCTGTAGAGACCAAGCATGCTCCACCTGCAATGTTCGGCACCTGCTCTGCTGGCTCATTTTACATCAACTTAACACAAGCTAATGGCATCTGAGATGAGGGAGCCTCAATTAAGAAAATGCCTCCATAACACCTGGCTGTTGGCAAGGCTCTAGGGCATTTTCTTAGTTAGTGATGGATGGGGAAGGTCCCAGGCTGTTGTGGATGGGGTCACTCTGGTTCGGTGGTCCTGGGTTCTATAAGAAAGCAGACTGAGCAAGCCATGAGGAGCAAGCCAATAAACAGCACCCCTCCACGGCTTCTGCATCAGCTCCTGCCTCCAGGTTACTGCCCTGCTAGAATTCCTGTCCTGACTTCATTGGATGATGAACAGTGATGTGGAAGTGTAAGCCAGATAAACCCTTTCCTCCCCAGGGTGTTTCATCACAGCAATAGTAACCCTGACTAAGACACTTGCTATGCTAGACCAGGAGAACTCCCATGACGGACTTCAATACACCCTTCCTATTTGTTTTATACATGTGCAAAGTGTTATTGTGCAGTCTCTCTCCTCTCTCTCTCTCTCTCTCTCTCTCTCTCTCTCTCTCTCTCTCTCTCTCTCTCTCTCTCTTGTGCTGTGTGTATTGGTATATGCAGTGAATGGGTAGATGCCTACACTGGTATCATACCTCTTCCCCCAGCAAGTATACAACTGCATACCTCTAAATACAATTCTGTAAATCAAGAATTTTGCAGAATTCAAGAAGCTGCTGTTTTATTAGACCAGATGGATTAAGATAGACCTCAACAGGCTAGATAAGAAGTCCAGTGTCTATGTATGAGATGTGTCTGTAGATGCTGGCCACAAACCAACTACTTTTGGTTAGAGTATGAAGATGAGGGGCATTGCCCAGCAGCATGTCTACATTCAGGAAAAGCCATCCATACATCCTGACAATACTGAATGCCTATGCATGTCTGTCTGTGAATACAGACTAGGCGTTGGGATATACATTTTGTTTCCAGATAATGTAATTTGGGGTTCTAAATGACAGGAATGTCACCGAGGAGCCTGAATGAAGGGACAGAGTACAGAGCCACACGTCTGTGTTCACTGTCACAGACCCCAAACTTGCTTGTCATTGCTGCCAGAGCCTGTGTTAGAGACCAAGGGTCACATTTGTAGTTGATCAACAAGCTGTTCACTAATTCATACTAAATCCCCGGGGAAGGTTTGTTTTTACTTTTTTCATTGTTTTGTTTTTTGAGACAGGGCTGCTGTGTGTAGCTCTGGCTGTCCTGGAACAAGCTCTGTAGACCAGGCTGGCCTCGAACTCACAGATCCACCTGCCTAGTTTACTTTTTAATATGAACTATTTCTTACTCTGATGGCACACTTTACTTAAAAGATGCTTCCCTGGCTTCACTTTTGGGAGACAGTTGGTCTCTGCCCTCCACTGAACCCTTAGCTAATCTGCCCATGTAGAGAGTCTAGTGTTCTCCACTAATTCTTGTGATTACAGTGTTCATCAGAAGCACAAGGCCCCAGTGTCAGGAATTATTAGTGAGAATAGATGAAGCAGTTTATTCCAGTTGAACACACTTTTCCTGATATGTTCACTTTAACATACCAATCATCTCTATTTCATGTTAAAACTAGTTTGTCAGAAAACCTTCCATAAACAGGTATTTGTGATTTGTCGTATAGGTCAAGGCCCTGTAATCTGTGTAGTCTGTAGGCTAAATCCCAACTTTGCCTATTTTTGTACAGCTTTCTGACCACTGTGATAAAATGCCCGAGAAAAATCAGCAAAAAGAGGTTGATTTATTTGGGTCCACGGCTTCAGAGGTTTCAGTCAATGGTAACTTGGCTCCACTGATCCTGGCTTATGAGGACCAGGAGGACTTCTGTGTTTTTTCTGAACAGCATGAATGGTGCTCCCATGAACTCTCAACAATGTGGCTGCCTGCCTAAGATCTGCAAAGACCACACCAACTGACATGCCAACATGGATAGAGGGTAAGTTCATAAGGTCCCATCCCTAGGTGAAGAGCTACAGGCAGTCAGACAGGGCTCATAGAGAGATGAGCCCGATAGGTCATCTCATCCAAAATGGTCAGCCCTAAACATATGACATATGAGCAACTCTAAATGGGCACAGTGTGTGTGTGTGTGTGTGTGTGTGTGTGTGTGTGTGTGTGTGTGAACAAAACAATAATTATAGGAGAGGTAATGAACTTCAGAGTGAGTGGGAGGACACAGGAGTTGAAGGGGAGAGGCGAGGGAGTAGAAACAGTAAATACAGTACTCATGTATAAAATTCTAAATATATTTTTTCTTCCTTTCTTTTTTTTTTTTTTTTTTCCGGAGCTGAGGACCGAAACCAGGGCCTTGCGCTTGCTAGGCAAGTGCTCTACCACTGAGCTAAATCCCCAACCCTCTAAATATATTTAAAAACTTAAATTTAAAAAAAAAGTTAGTTTTCAGGCTGGAGAGATGGCTCAGAGGTTAAGAGCACTGACTGTTCTTCCAGAGGTCCTGAGTTCAATTCCCAGCACCCACATGGTGGCTCACAACCATCTGTAATGAGATCTGGCTCCCTCTTCTGTATACATAATAAATAAATAAACCTTTAAAAAAAAGTTAGTTTTCAGTGACTAGGGTTTTAGAAACGTCCTAAAGGCTCAGGTGTTCTTTCACTTTAATTTAGTGATTGCTGACATCAGTGGTCCAGAACGTCACGGGACACGTGCCAGGCACAGAGGACTCTTGATCCCTAATGTCTATAGATACTTTTCTTGGGAATCCTCTCTGAATTCTTTATATGCAAGGCCCAGAATTTAAAATTTGTCTCAATATATTTGATGAAAACTGATGTTTTTGTTAACCAGACAGTAATCTCTCTCCTGCAGGTTACACTCCACAGCGCAAACGATCTAAGAACATGCTCCTTTACTTATTTTCAACTGCAACAAATGTGAGTGTGGTTACATGTCTGATGTAGAAATGAATCAAGCCAGGTACAGTAGTAGGTTTTGACTTCCTCTAAGCACTGTTTCCCCTCCTAATTAGTTTGTCCTCTCTCTACAGTTAGAGGTGGTGCTCACAGTGCCTTGGAATATGCTTTTTTTTTTTTTTTTTTTTGGTTTTTCGAGACAGGGTTTCTCTGTGTAGCTTTGCGCCTTTCCTGGGACTCACTTGGTAGCCCAGGCTGGCCTCGAACTCACAGAGATCCGCCTGGCTCTGCCTCCCGAGTGCTGGGATTAAAGGCGTGCGCCACCACCGCCCGGCTGAATATGCTTTTGAATGTTTTGGTTTTCCATGAAAATGTTTACAGCACAGAAAAGCAGAGGGAGAGAAAAGAGCAAAGATCAACGCGACCTGTGAATGTTTGAAAATACCATACGAAATTCATTACTTTGAAAATGACAAAAAAGGGCTGGAGAGATGGCTCAGAGGTTAAGAGTACTGGTTGCTCTTCCAGAGGTCCTGAGTTCAATTTCCAGCAACCACATGGTGGCTCACAACCATCTATAATGAGATCTGGTGCCCTCTTCTGGAGTGCAGGCAGAACATTGTACATAGAATAAATAGATAAATCTTAAAAACGAAACAAAAAACAATGCACACAAAATAAAAATAAATAAATTAAAAAGAAAATGACGAAAATAGAAAAAACAGAAATTTATAACTTCTATGATAATTTAAAAAGTCAATTAAAAATTCTTACAGCCAAATAGTACTCTGAACAAATATCAGTAAGTGGTATTGAGTATATTTATTCAGCTTTGGAACGCTGTCTTTTGGGGTGACATGTCAGCTGATGTCTAGTTAGTATTCTTTGTATTGTCGTGAGGAAGATGGGAAGGTGTTTTCTTTCTTTCCGGCAGAATGAAGTCGGCATGTCCTGGGGAGAGCTTGGGGAAGGTGTAATTGATATACTTCTGAAATGCTGCCCTGGTCTCCTGTAATTCCTCCTCCAGGAAATCTTTCCAGTTTGTCATGATTCCCAGCTGCCTTGCCACAGACACCAGCTCTCCCTGGGTGTTGACGAGCTTGTCCATCACATTGTCAAGATTGGCCTGGTGTGTTTTCTCGGCTTCCTGGAGCACTACCTGCACTTCTTCTTGCTTCTGCCTCTGAGCCAGGCCATAGTAGGTGTTCATTTCATGCTCCTTTGCTTTGATCAACTGGCCCAAGCTTGTCTTCTGGTCTTTAATAGCCGTTACACCAGTACTCACAAATTCCTCCATGGCCTTGCTGCAAAAGATCATACAGGTTTACAAATTAGATTGACTAGCCACTAAAAACACAATGAATTTATCATTAGTCACAGAAGAGTCACCAACTCGAGAAACCTGTCATACATGAGCTTTCGGAATATATTGGCTATCAATAAGCAATCTAAAAATTGTTCTCAGAGCCTGTCCATCAATTTCTCTGCCATGGGCTGGGGCAAAGCCACTAGTGTGATGCCCAGTGGCAGCAATGGGGATCTGAGTTCACTTTGGCCAGAAAGAGATAAATGAAGAGACACAGTCCGAAACCCCTAAACTTCTTACCAATTCAGTTCCTTTTTGTTGGTTTATTTCTTTGAGACAGTATCATTAATGTTGACTTTTGTTGCTTTGAGTGAACTTGAATCAACTATGTGATTCATGCTGGCCTTCTACTCTTTCATTTTTGAGATTATAATATAATTACATCATTTCTCCATTCTCTTTTCTCCCTTTGAGTCCTTCCATATACCAATTCTTGCTCTCTTTTTGATGTCCAGATTATGTCCTCTTTTTCATTAACTGTTGTTACATGCATATATGTATTTATATATGCACATATATATTCCTAAATATAACCTGCTCGATATGTATAATGTTAACCTGTACGCGTGTTTCAGCTCACTGTTTGGTGTTAGATAACCAACTGTGTTCCTCTCTGGGGAAGACTCTTCTTCCACTCTCAGCACTCCTCTGCTGCCTGTAGTTCTCTGTGTAGAACTGAGGCCTCCTGGGCTTTCCCTTTCCACTTGGACATGCCTATCACTGCTGCCCTTGTTTGGTTCAAGTTTAGGCAGCCATATCGGTAAGCTTTTATAGGCGTAGTTTCTGACACTGCTAGAGACAATCTCACAGCAAACTCCCTGATCCTAGCCTCCAACTTGTGATCCACCTCCTCAGTGCTGGGTGCTGAGATTATAGGCCTAAGCCACCAAATCCTCGTTGCTCATCTTTAGGATAGATGGATGCAAACTTGATACTCATAGGTTAGCTTTAGGTTTAATCTTGATTTAAACTGAGCTATATTTAATTATAGATTATCTGATCATAGGACCAAAATCCTTTTACACTCAAAATACTGAGTAACCCCCAAAAATAGTTTCTATGAGTTTTTTTTTTGTTGTTGTTGTTTTTGTTTTTTGTTTTTGTTTTTGTTTTTTTCAAGACAGGGTTTCTCTGTGTAGCTTTGCTCCTTTCCTGGATCTTGCTCTGTAGACCAGACTGGCCTCGAACTCACAAAGATACACCTGCCTCTGCCTCTGGAGTGCTGGGGTTAAAGACGTGCACCACCACCACCTGGCAGAAAGTTTTATCTATAGACATTAACAGAATTAGAGGCTAAAAGACAGACATTTTTAAAAAAACATTTATCAATTAATGCAAAATAACAATAAGTCAATTATACTTTAACACAAATATTTTTATGAAAAATATTTTCCAAAATAAAATAATAATATTTGGTTTAAAGACTGGCATAATTTTACATTCATTTACAAAATTCTTTTATGTGTGGTTTAAAACAAAGCTGGTTTTTCATGTTATTCAAATATATTGTGATATCCTACATATTAAAACTCCTGAAAAAATATAACACTCATTAGAGAAAGAGAGAAAAAAAGAAATAACAATGTCTTCTTGCAAAAAAAAAAAAGAGTTTTGATTTCATGGATTTGGGCCTTCCCTGTCAAAGAGTCAAGGGCCCTGAGGGTTCTCAGACCATGCTGCTCAATGATCTGACCTCTGGTTGCTCGTATATATATAAATTTATATTTATATAGATGTGTGTGTTTATATATTTTATATATATATATATATATATATATATAGGTTGGCTACATACAGATATGTAGACAGATAAACTATAAATGATACTTTATAGCAGCTAACCCTATTGAACTGTTACCATGTGCCAAGCAAGCTGACAGGCTTTTGTGTATATAATTAATCAGCAACTCCTGAAATTCACTTGAGTCAATCCAAGATTATGCCTGGTTCAAGATGAGGACACTATGGCTCTGAGCAGTTAAGTAATTGGTCAGAGTTCACTTATAAGTGATGGTGGTAACATCAGCACCATGGCCCAGGCAGTCTGAGTCCAGGGCAATGTTCTCAGTCAGTATGATGCACTGTATGGACTTCTGGAATTAACCTAGTTTGAGTAAGATGTCTGAAGAACAAAATACCTACAAATGTTGGGTTAAAGTACTGATGATTTGAAATGAAATCCTCCCCATCGCCTTCCTTCCTGGTGCCTCCAACACAAATTAAACCTTTTCAAGACTTCATGCTATTGTCTAAAATCCACCTTCAAAGTTGAAATTCTCTTCTTTTTCCTAGTTCCTTCGGCCTTACTTCAAACCTGAGAGACTTCCCTAACGCTGATGGAACGTCATTTATCTCTAGTTACCACACAGCTGGGTTATATCCACTATTAACAGCAAGGGTTAATGCTTAGCGCTTACCGTGTCCTCGGGACTAGTCTAAGCATTTTACTCATTTAATTTGCAAAGGAACCCACTGAGGCCTGTTACTATTTTTACTTACACTGTTATTATTCTCTTGTGATGGGTAAGGAATGTGAGGCTCAGCAAGAACCATTAGAACTATTGTTCGGTGTCACACACATAACTGAGGAAGCAGGGGAGTGGCTGCACTTAGCTACTACTTGCTTCAATCTCATAAGAGGTCCCTATAAAATGGTTTGTCAGTAAGATAACACAATGAAAACAACATTTAAGAATACTATTCTGGTAACAGTAAGAAAACTAAACCTTAGTGCGGTGAGTCAGAGAGACCACCCTGTATCATTCTGCAACCTTCTGGGGGCACAAAGAGGGCGTGAACTAGTGACAGACGAAGGACAGGGATGGGAATCAAGACAGAAAAGAACAAACCCAGGAAAGAACACAAAGCCCTACCTGCCACATCTAGGACTGTTGGGATACAGGCAACCCTGCCAAGGAGGAACCAGACTTGGCCTCTGAATCTAGAAGCTGGAAAGGAGAATGGAGGCATTGGTAACAGTATCCATGCTGTAGGGAGGTTTGAATTCATACTCATACACATCCTCGGGATGTAGCCTGGTGTTTTAGTAAACCAATGGGTTGTTAGTAAGGCTGGGACCAGGGCCTCTAGGGCCTAGGGCAGAAAAAGTTGGGTTGTCAGCTCCAGAGAGGGTAGCTAACAGGGAAAGACTCTAGGAGGGACACATGGATGGCCCAGTGAAGGAAAAGTGGATGAGATCTACATGAGCGGACTGGGAGTAGGGAGGGGGGTGGAGGGCAAGGAGTGGGGGATGAGAACATAGGGAAATGAGAGGGTCGAGCTGGAACAGGGACAGAGTGGGAGGGCAAGGAGGGAGATACCATGATAGATGAGGACATCATGGGAATAGGAAGAGGCAGGGTGCCGGGGAGGCTCTCAGGAATCCACAAGGATGACCCCACCTTGGAGTGCTGGCAGTGGTCTAGAGGGTGCCTGGACTCATCTACTCTGGTGACCAGTCTAGTGAATACCCTAACCATCATCATAGAGCCTTTGTCCAGTGACTGATGGAGGCAGATGCAGAGATCCATGGTCAGGCACCAGGCTGAGCTCTGGGAATCCAATTGATTAGAGAGAGGAGAGATTCTGCAAGCGGGGGACATCAAGATCATGATGGGAAGACATGCAGAGATGACCGGCCACACTAGTGGAAGCCCATGAACTGTAGACTAGTGGCTGTGGAGCCCCCATGGGACTGGACTAGGCCCTCTGGATATGGAAGATGGTTGTTTGGCACAAACTGTTTGGGAGGCACACAGGCAGGGGGATTGGGATCCATCCCTGGTGCATGGGCAGGCTTTTGAGAGCCCAGTGCCTGTGGTGTGATGCCTTGCGCAGCCTTGGTGCAGTGGGGAGGGGCTTGGACCCTCCTAAGCTCAGTGTGCTGGGCTCTGCTGACTCCTCATGGGAGACCTTGATTTGGGGGATACGGGGGTTTGGGATGGCTAGGGAGGGAGGGCTAGAGGGTAGGAGGAGGGGGGATCTGTGGGTGGTATGTAGAGTGAGTAGAAAATTTCTTAATAAAGAAAAAAGAAAAAGCTGTGTTGTGTGATATTTTGAGCATGTTCTGACAAATAAAGCTTTCTTGGAGCCAGAGGGTGGAGTTAGCCACTAGCTGACCAAAATTAACCACAGAGGTTTTGGAAGACTGATGACAGATTGGACAGGAAGTAGTAAGGCGGGGCAGAAAGGGATCTGGCTCTTTGTTTGAAGGAAGGAAGAGAGCAGGTAGGAACCACTAGTAGTTTCTCTGCTTCTCTGATCTTTCAGGCTCTGATCGCAACATCTGACTCCTGAATTTTTATTGAAAAAGAATAATTAGAATAATGCTTCAAAGCTGGAAAGACCTTTCCATGACCCCATCCAACATCCCCAAAGAGGAAGATGTGATTCCTGGGTGAACCGGAAAGTCCCCAGCACTAACCTTAGGTCCACTGAGCTAATAAAGTCTATCCCAGGTATCCACCTCCTTTCCAAGTACCCTGATGGCAAAATCTCCCAGCAAAAATCTGGCATTTTTCTATATAGCTTTCCAATTTCTCTCAGGCCAATTCAGATCTTGAATTCTTGAGTCTTTGAAATCTATGCCTTTTGACCTCAGCTCTAGGTGTCTCTAAATTCTGATGATTTACTTGAAGTTCTGGAATTGAAGCCACACACTGGTTGGGACACAAGCAGGGAGGCTGTGGCCCCTTTTATCTTTGGATCTGCTCTATATGACATGGCTGGTGTGCATACAATGGGCAGGCAATACATGTGAATACATATAAGGGTTATCCAAATGTAGTTCCCATTAATATATTTTGTTGCTGCAGATAATACCAAAATTTATAATAGCTAGGTTTGTGAATAACAAAAGCTTAAGAGAATCCATACCTTTCACCAGGCAGTGGTGGCACATGCCTTTAATCCCAGCACTCAGGGGGCAGAGGCAAGCGGATTTCTGTGAGTTCGAGGCCAGCCTGGTCTACATAGCAAGTTCCAGGATAGCCAAGGCTATCACACAGAGAAACCCTGTCTTGAAAAACTGAGAGAGGGAGGAGAAAGAGAAAATTTGTGCAGGAGTTGGGGTTCGAGGAATTATATAAACGAGGGTGTGGAGGAAATATCCAGAGGCCAGCCTTCTGTAGCACACTTGCATTTTGGGGTTCAGTAAGACTCAAACCTTCCATTGGCCGTGTCTCATTATACAAGAGACTTTCACGTCTCCACTCATTCTGTTTTCATTCTTATGTCTCTCTCCAAAATCAGATTCTCTCCTCAAGGCCACCACAAGACAACTTCCTCCAGAAGCCGACCTTACTACATAACCTACCCCACTTTACTTGATCTTTTCATTTAAGTCTTTCGATCCCTGTGCGTTATTTGTACCAGTACTGTGCTCAGATGAGGAAGTCATGCTTCGGTTACTTCATTTAATATTAAGGAAAGGACTTAATTTCTTTCTACCAGAGCTTCAGTTTCAAATCCATTGATTCAGAAGACACTTGGTAAGTTCAGGTGAAGTGGAAAAACTCACTCAGTAACTCTAATGTCTTCCTGTAGAACAGGTTAGCAAATGGACAATTGCAAATAGAACACAGGCCAGGGTTTGATTCAGTCCCTACCACTTCCTCTTCAGATGACCTTTCATAGTCTGTTCAGTCTCTCCCTATGACTCAGAACTTAATCTGAAGATATGCAAGATGATAGACTCTCCCTCAAATGGTAACTAGCTAGTTTACTTACATTTCTGAGACAAATTTCACTTGTGTCTGGTGGGCTAGATCTTATTACGAACCACAAGCTGGTATGAACTCCTGTTCATCCTGCCTCAGCTTCTGAGGGCTAGGTTATATGCATCTTCCACTAAGCCTATTGCCCCTCAGAAAGAGATTTGAGAAATATATAAAGGGTCCGTGTGCAGTGGTTATTGAATAAAGGTAGTTGTCATAAAATTATAGCCATTAGAGATGGGTAAAAATGTGTTCTATACCCTTAGCTATCAGGGAAATGCCGATCAAAACCACTTCAAGATTCCACCTCAGCTCAGTCAGAATGGCCATCATCAGAAGTATAAACAACAAACACTAGGGTAGATGTGGGGGAAAGAGAGCCCTTACATGCTGTTGGTAAGAGAGTAAGTTATAGTACAGCCTCTATGTAAATCAGTCTGGAGTTGAACTACTACACATCATTCCTAGGCATATACCGGGAGGATTTTATACTGCACTACAGAGATATATGTTCATCTTTGATCATTGTGGGATAGCTGTTTATTCACAATAGCTAGGAAATGGAATCAAAGCAGATGTCCCTCAAATGATGAATAGGTAAAAATGTGGTGTATATGATATCTATAAACAATGGGATTATTACTCAGCTATAAAGAGGTTAGGAAATCTGCAGGTATCACATGAAGGGTCTCTAGCCTACTTCCTGACAGAGTTCTTGTGCTGCTCTGAAACAGCATTGGCTCCACTATCTGCATTTCTGTTGCCATTATGTTCTTCCCACCGGAACAGTCCACTAAGCTCTGACTACAGCAGTGAAGGAGTTTTCTACCCTAAATTCCAGAATCTTGCCCCAATCCTACAAACCAGCTCTAAGAACCACATGGTCAGGTTTATCACAGCAACTGTCTCGCTCCTTCGTATTGACTTTCTGACTAGTTAATTTTCCTGTTGCTGCAACAAAACACCTGACCCAAGCAACCTGAGAAAGCAAAGTTTTATTTTTGCCTACAGCGCGGGGTGTGGTCCATCATGGAGAGGACGGCATGGCAGCAGAGTCACATTGCATCCAATCAGGAAACAGAGACTGAGGATGCTCAGCATGCATTCTTCTTTCTATGCATTCTAGAATCTCCAGCCCACATCTGAGGTGAGTCTTCCCACCTCAACTAGCCCAACCTACAAACCCTCTCAGGCACTCCCAGAGCTTTATATACAAGGTGTCCCTAGATTCTATCAAGTTATCGGTATAAACCACCACAGTATCCAAATAAATTCTTTAGCAGAATTTTAATTATGTCTCTCTCCACAAATTAGTTTCTGCAAGAAGCCTGGAATTTAGTAATACCTAGAGATAAGATCTGGTACCCTGCATAATTTAGCTGATCAGAATAATTTTGTAGCATTTGTTCAGCAGTTTTCAAGGGATGTAGCTCAATTCTAGAGCACCTACCAACTATGCACAGAGCTCTAGGTTCAAAACCTACCACCCCAAGAAAATAATAAATAAAAACAACAAAGAATGAATGATCTTGTTCCATAGAACAACCTGGATCTGTATTAGGCATTCAAGACTGATTGATGGACTGATTAAAACTTCAGTGATGTGGAAAACCGGATGTTACAGGTCCAGAGCCATATTACCTCAGGCTATGTTTAACCTCCCCAATAGTCACTATTGCATATTTCTGTGTTTGACCTAGCATCCTTGTGGATTATCAGGTAAATTCTTTTTGTAATGCGCAAAAGGACTCCTTAACTTCCACCAACCCAACCCAAAGACTAATAATGTCATCAGGTCACACCCGAAGTCACAATAGAGACTTCCTTTTCTGTGACACCCCTCCCTACTCAATGTTTCCGCCAATGTATTTAAAGATGCTCTGATTTATAGCTTTTCGTTCTGTTGGCGTAAGAACTTCACAAGAGGTTGTGGAGACTGCTCAATCAATAAAGTGCTTGCCGGGTAAGCATGAGGACATGAGTTTGATTCCCAAAACCCATGTTAAAAAAAGAAAACCACAGCCGGGCGGTGGTGGCACACGCCTTTAATCCCAGCACTCGGGAGGCAGAGCCAGGCGGATCTCTGTGAGTTCGAGGCCAGCCTGGACTACCAAGTGAGTTCCAGGAAAGGCGCAAAGCTACACAGAGAAACCCTGTCTCGAAAAACCAAAGAAAACCACAACAACCTAGCATGCTGATGCATGCTTGTGATCTGCAGCGGCCGAGAAAGGTGGGCCTTGGGACTCACTAGCCAGCCAGACTAGCCTATGTGGTAATATTGTGTTCCCCAATATATTGTGCACCCTAATAAACTTATCTGGGATCAGAGGACAGAACAGCCACTAGATATAGAGGCCAGAAAATGGTGGCACTCACACCTTTAATCCTAGCCTTCTGGAGGCAGAGATCCATCTGGATCTCTGTGAGTTCAAAGCCACACTGGAAATAGCCAGGCATGGTGACACATGCCTTTAAACCCAGGAAGTGATGGCAGAAAGCAGAAAGGTATATAAGGTATGAGGACCAGGAACTAAGCTGGTTAAGCTTTTAGGCTTTTGAGTAGCAGTTCAGCTGAGATCCATTCGGGATGAGGACACAGAGACTTCCAGTGGCTCCAGCTTTGATTGTATTAAGAGGAACTTTTTTTTTCAGAGCTGAGGACTGAACCCAGGACCTTGTGCTTTCTAGGGAAGCACTCTACCACTGAGCTAAATCCCCAACCCCTAAGAGGAACTTTTAAGATTCGTGTTACAAGCCTATGTGCCAGAATCTAGCTCAGTGTGAGACCTGTCTCGTGGGGGGAAAAAAAGGGTTTGGGTAGTGCCTGGGGAACAACACCTGAGTTTGTCCTCTGACCTCGCTATGCATGCACACAGTGTGAACATACACACATAAGTACAAACGTACATGTGAACACATAAACACATGCATGAACCTGTAGCCACGGAGTTGGAGATAACCTGAATCTTCTTTCTAGGCCCACGTAACTCATGTTTCGCTCTTGAACAAACTTTTGCTTATCCTCTCTGAGATAAGAACCGTGTTTTAATGTTAACAAATGCTTACCAGGGTCCAGGCTCTCTTCGAGACATTTGGGAACCATGAGTGACCAAAACGGACATTCTATTTGGGTAGATTTAACTAACAGTCATGGCAGTTCTCTAATCTTGTCAATAAAAGATGGAAATTGAAAAAAAAACTGATATTAACGCCTCACAGAGGAAAAGCAGAAGGGAAAAACACAATGGACAAGGGAGGGTACAGGAGACCGCCAGTGTGTGAGGGGTGAACCAAGAGACTCCGGAAGAAGAGCCAGAGCTCCTCAGAAGGAGAGGTAGGGGCAGGGAGAAGGGGGCCTGACCTCCTCTCTACTAGACCACAACTCATTCTCTAAGCAAACGCTCTCTGTTCACAAAGACATCCTCGAGGCAGAAGAGAGGCAGCCTGTGCCACAGCTCTCCAGCCTGGTTTCTTTCCTTTTTTAACTCTGGGAGAGATTTGTCTTTAAGATTTTACCTATCAATTATACACAACTAGACAAGCTTACGTAAAGCGGCAAAAAACCAAAAGGGACAAACCCACACTTGGAGGCCGAACAGGAAGACTCCGTCTTGGTTCTACTGTTACAGCTTGGGGGTCTTGGGCAGGCAACTCAACATCTGGAAACATGATATTCTCTTATATCCAATAAGCCCTGGACTCCTGACTCTCCCTCGCCTGTCTCCTACTTTTGTTCAGTCCAGTGTTGGAGATACCTCACAACAGAACCAGGAAACTCTGGGCAGTATTCACTTAGACATCTTAACCGTATTTCTTTCTCTAGGTGGATTCTAACTGAGCAGATGCTCGTGTTCTCTGGCGTACCTTCTCTGTTCCTGAACAGCTTTCTGGGCAATCTCTCTTTCTTCTTCCCTGGCTTTATTCACAGCTGCTATCTTTTCTCTGTGGCACTCCATCATAATCCTCTGGATTCTGTGGACCATCCGTTGTTCTGCAGCAGAGTTCTCTCTCTTCAGTTCCTCATCCATGTTTTGAAACATTTCCATCTTGGTTTTCTCTTCTACAGCCTTAAAGAAAGGGAATGGAAAAACTTGATTTAGATATTACAGGCTTGATGCCTTAAAATGAATAGTAGAGGCTAGATCCATCAAAGTTTCATTTATCTGATAAAATAGAACCTGTTAAACAGGCGATCTAAAAGTAGCTGTGAATTATATGGAAATTTTTCATTTAAATTATTTATATATATAATATATATGATCACATCGAAAGGCAGTGTGCAAAATGAAAATAGGTTAGAGGGGTATGGTTAAAGGTTTTTGGCTGCTTTTCTATTTTATAATTTAATTTAATTTTACATATCAGCCACGGATTCCCCTGTCCTCCCTCCTCCCGTGCCCCCTCCTGCGCCTTCCCCCCACCCCACCCCCCATTCCCATCTCCTCCAGGGCAAGGACTCCCCTGGGGATTCAGCTCAGCCTGGTAGATTCAGTCCAGGCAGGTCCAGTCCCCTCCTCCCTTCACCCAGGCTGAGCAAAGTGTCCCTGTATAGGCCCCAGGTTCCAAACAGCCAGCTCATGCACTAAGAACAGGTCCCAGTCCCACTGCCTGGATGCCTCCCAAACAGTTCAAGCTAATCAACTGTCTCACTTATCCAGAGGGCCTGATCCAGTTGGGGGCTCCTCAGCCATTGGTTCATAGTTCATGTGTTTCCACTAGTTTGGCTATTTGTCCCTGTGCTTTTTCCACTCATGGTCTCAGCATCTCTCGCTCATACAATCCCTCCTCTCTCTCACCGATTGGACTCCTGGAGCTCCACCTGGGGCCCAGCTGTGGATCTCTGCATCCATTTCCATCAGTCATTGGATGAGAGTTCTACCATGACAGTTAGGGTGTTTGGCCATCCAAATCATCAGAGTAGGTCAGTTTGGGCTTTCTCTCGACCATTGCCAGTAGTCTATTGTGGAGGTATCTTTGTAGATTTCTGGGGACCTCTCTGGCACTTTGCTTCTTCCTATTTCTATGGGGTCTTCATTTATCATGGTCTCTTTTTCCTTGTTCTTCCTCTCTGTTCTTGATCCAGATCCAGCTGGAATCTCCTGCTCCCCTAAGCTCTCTTTCCCTCGACCCTTGCCCTTCATTACCCCCCTCACATCCAGTTTGCTCATGTAGATCTCATCCATTTCTCTGTCATTGGGTGATCCCTGTGTCTTTCTTAGGGTCCTCTTTTCTAGGTAGTCTCCCTGGAGTTGTGAGTAGCAGTCTAGTCATCCTTTGTTTTACATCTAGTATCTACCTATGAGTGAGTATATACCATGTTTGTCTTTCTGAGTCTGGGTTACCTCACTCAGGATGATTTTTTCTAGATCCATCCATTTGCCTGCAAACCTCCCGATGTCATTGTTTTTCTCTGCTGAGTAGTACTCCATTGTGTATATGTACCACATTTTATTTATGCATTTTTCAGTTGAAGGGCATCTAGGTTGTTTCCAGGTTCTGGCTATTACAAATAATGCTGCTATGAACATAGCTAAGCATATGTTTTTGGCTGCTTTTAATCTTTTAATTTTCTTTTCTTTTTCAGTGCTGGTGGCCAAACCTAGGGTTTCACAGATGCTAGGCTATCATTGGGCCTATAGCTCCAACTACATGTTTTTATTGATTGTCACAGTATCATTTTATACATGTAAATACAAGATGTGATACTGGAAAAATGGCATAGATAAATACCATGAAGGGAACCTGAGGCTCAGGAAGGAAACAGGCACATCACTCCAGTCCCTACTGATGCTCCACATTCCTCATCATTAGGGTCGCTACCCTTCCTCATTCATGGAGGCGACAGGAGCTCCACTGCTCTAGGGTAGGAGGACATGTGGAGTATTTTCAACCAAGTAGAGAAAGAGAGCAACAGTCAAACCATTATTTGTGGAGAAGTCTCACAAAAGGACCTAAAGGGAAAACCTGTCACCATTTTGGAAATGCCTACTAACTCCATGGTGTGCCAGCACTCTGCTGGGTCAAGATACTACAAACACAAGAATGCTTGGACCCCCGTCCTCAGAGGACTCACTATACAATGGACAAGATCAAGGACAGCATTCGGATTTACAATTTGATATTTGATATGTGTTCTTTGTCATTGCATAATGAGTATTGTATCAGAATCATATCAAGGAATGAAGAGCAATTAAATATGTCCTGAACTTTCAAAATCTTCATTAAAAGACAAATTTTTATCTACTTCAAGGTTGTCAAGAGAACATAAAGGAATTAAGTTACTTCACACAGCAAGTTAGAGACAGAACTAGAGATGTAGACAAGAGTTCTCAAGTATCAGTTCCCTTCATCACTGGCTGAGATGATAGAGTCTTTCAAGAAACTCATTAACTTCTCTTCTTTCTAGGAAACGTCACAGTTTTATACGCTAGTATATGGGTCTGGCCTCCTCCCTCTTCTTCCTTCCCTCCTCACCTCCTCTCCTTCTTTTTTAGAGTGAAATCTTACCCAGGGTGTAAAGCACTGAAACCACCCTGAGTTGTCCTGCTTGCATTTTGCTTTGCCCCCTTTAGCATCCTTTCTGAGAGCCTGAGGGAGCCAGCTCCTTTAACATTCAGCAGAGCCCTCAGTGGAGGCTGCAGAGCAAGAGAATTCTAAGTGTCAAGGGAAGGTGGACTCACTTTTAGCTTCTCAGAAAAACCATCTCGATGATAAATTATTCATTAGAAGAAGTGGGTGTATAGGTCAGTGACAGAGCATTTGCCCTAGCAGAAGTGAAGCCCTGAGTTCAATCCCTCACACTGAAAAAAATTGTTAGAATCCAATGTCTTCAAGAGAAGATTTTCTTTTCTTTTTCAAAAAAAGATTTATTCATATATTTTATGTATACGGGTGTTTTGTCTGCATGTACATCTGCACACCAGAAGAGAGCATCAGATCCAGTTGTGAGCCACCATGTGGGTGCTGGGAATTGAACTCAGGACCTCCAAAAGTGCAGTCAGTGCTCTTAACTTCTGAGCCATCTCTCCAGCCCAAGAGAAAGGTTATCAATTTCTCATTTTGGCTAATTGGGTGTAGTAGCACATCCTAGCACTCAGAAGGCAAGAGGATTATCACGAGTTTGAGGCCAGTCTACCTAGTAAGACCCTGTTTCAAAAACACAATCAGGAGTTGGAGAGGTAGGAAAGTGAAGTGTTTGCCATACAGGTATGAGGGCCTGAGGTTGAGCCCCCAGCATCCACCTATAGAGCTAGGGTATGACTGTCCATACCTGTAACCCCAGGTTTGGGGGACAGAGACAGGGGGATCCTGGAATATCACTGGGCAAGCCAGTCTAGCCAAATCAGTGAGTTTACACACCAGTGAGAGAGACCCCATTAATGGCAATAAAGCAACAAAGAAAGACACCCTGGGGTCTGCAATATAGCTGAGTGGGCAAAGGAGCTTGACTACGTGAGTTCAATCGCTGGGGCCCACATGGTTGAAAGGAGAGAAATGACTCTGGCAGTTGCTCTCTACTACACATACATATTGTGCACACACACACACACACACACACACACACACACACACACACACACAAATTTATTTTTAAAGAGGGGGAAAATACTCTGAAGTCCTCCTCTGGCCTCTACATGCATGTTTGGGCATGCACACCTGCACACTCACATGCATAACACACACACACACACACACACACACACACACACACACACCAAAATCAAAAGGGTAGGGGAAGAAACAGCAGAATCTAACTTTAAGACTCTTTCCAGAACCGCTTCAAGTGGTAAATTTTAAAAATAGTTACAGAAAAAAATATTGGTTGTTTAGAAATGCTACCTGGTTTTTCACTGCAGAAGACTTTGTCTCTTAAATCTCTGGGCTTTTTATTTTTTTATTTTTGTTTATTTATTCATTTATTTTATTTTATTTTTATTTTTTTGGTTTTTCGAGACAGGGTTTCTCTGTGTAGCTTTGGAGCCTGTCCTGGAACTTGCTCTGTAGCCCAGGCTGGCCTCGAACTCACAGAGATGCCCCTGCTTCTGCCTCCCGAGTGCTGGGATTAAAGGCGTGCACCACCACCGCCAGGCTAAATCTCTAGTTTTTAATAATAAAATAGTTCGAATGTTAACATCTCTAGATGTTTTTAGCACTTGGCTTATTTCATAAAAAAGAGTACAACCAAGTGTTCTACTGTTTGCTTCGTGCTCTGGAGTTCTTGGCTTGTTTTCCTCGTGGGCACGTTGACTCCTATGTCCTTATTTGCTCTGAGGTTGGGCAGTGGGCTGCTGACACAGCGAACTCCCATTAGCAACCCTCCAGACCTGGCTGGAGTGGGCCGCTGGGGCCAAGCAGAGACTATCCTTCGGCTAGGCGGGAACTGTGGGGCAGAGCTCCCTTTCATTGATCCTCTGAGGTCAAGGGCAGTGCATTTAACCTCAGTTGGCACACACCTGGCATACGCTAGGTGCTCCTTGTAGAAACCATGAATATGTCGGCCCATACCCTAAGCCGCTTATCCATCACATTATTAAGATCTCTGTCGCTTGCCTGTGGCCTCCGCCCATGTATCACACACATGTATCTAGTCCTCCTCTGTCTCCCCCTTGGCAAATGTGAAGGCAGTTCTGTATTCTGGCCCTCTGAACAGGTTTTGTGACAGAGATATTGAACTAAGCAGGGGATCCCTCTGCTGGGAACGTTGACCAGCTTGCAAGTTAGTTCCTCTTAGCCAGCCTTAGATTCTAACAACAGAAGAACGATATGGAAAATGTGGTATGTATACACAATGGAGTTTGTTGTTGTTTCCAAGAAAATGGATGCAGCTAGAGGTAATTTATGAATTAAGCCAGTCTTAGAAAGAAATCTCATGCTTCTTCCCGTATGTGGTTCCTAGATTTTATACATAAATCATGCATGTACATACAGTATAAAAGGAGAAGAAAAACTACCCAGAGAAACAAAGGGAACTCCTGGGCAGGGTGAGAATGGAGAAGGAAGGTTTGAGGTGATATTCCCAACATACAATATATACTTATAAGTATACATATGATACATACATATATGTGTACACACTGGAATGTCATGTAGCACATTGTCATGTACAATGAATACATATCACAGTGAAAATTTAAAACAAACAACAAAAAAAGAGGTCCTCTTATCTTGTGACCATCGGCCTACTGGTAACACGTCAGGGATAGCTAATATGTCTCTCTTGGCAGTTCAGAAAAAGCAGTTCAGACTGCCCGTATGGAGCCTGCGGTCATGCCGGGAAACCTGACACTAAACAGCTAGTCTTATAATCAGTTATTTAATTACAGTGGAGATCCGTGCTATGAAAGGCTATGACAGAACCCTGTGTCTTGTGAATCGCCATGGTTCCCTCCCAACCTTTATGAAATACTAACCTGAACTTACTAACCATCCCACCCCTTCTCCCCATGTCAACTAACATAAGCACCCCGTCTTTACCAAGTTAAATGCTTTAGAAAAGACAATGAGCAAGTCATCATATAGAAAACCTTTAAGTCTTTTTGATGTTGTTCTTCCAGCATCTGAATTTCAAATTTGTGCCTGTCATTTGCATCCTCGAGTGCTTTTTCCACTGCTTGTTTTTGGAGTTCAGCAGCCTTTGAAAGAAAAGGTCCATTTATCTATTAATATTTCAGGGAACGCACAGAAAAGCTGGTCATTATTCAAGAAGTTGGTAAATTATTAGGTCTTCATGCTCAATGAAAAGGAGCAGCCACCCTGGGGTCCCTAATTGCACTGTGCCTACTCCTGCTTCCCACAGAGCCCTGGCTGCCTTAGCTAGACACACATAACACACCGAGCATCGGGCTACCTTTGCTGTCTTCGGAATTATTAAAGGCAGGTGTAGTGGTATTATGTTTGCGATCTAACAAATAAAGCTTGCCTGAAGATCAGAGTGTGGAGCTAAGCCACTAGTTAGCCATAGAGGCCAGGCAGTGGTAGCACACACCCTTAATCCCAGCACTCAGGAGGCAGAGGCAGATGGATCTCTGTGAGTTCAAGGCTACCCTGGGCTACACAAGATTGATCCAGTCTAAAAGAGGAACAGAGCCAGACAGTGGTGGCTCACACCTTTGATCCCTGCCTTTGGGATCTCACACCTTTAATCCCAGCACTAGGGAGGTGGAGACAGAAAGTGATACGGCTGGGCGGAGAGAAGAATATAAAGTGGGAGGAGACAGGAGCTCAGGTCTCTTTCAGGTTGAGGATTTGGTAGAAGTAAGAAATCTTTCTAGTGGCTGGCTGCTCTGCTCCTCTGCTCTTTCAGCATTTACCCTGATATCTGGCTCCAGGTTTTATTATTAAGACCAATTAGAATTTGTGTTATAGGTGGGGGATATATATATATATATATACAGCTGAGTATGTTAACCTAGGAAACACAGAGAAGGGAACAGACACCAAGGACTTCTGAGACAGTAGATAAAGATAAGGTCAAGATAAGGCATTTGGGGAAATGGGCAATACATTAGAAGTATTTATTACATACTGCACAGACGGATAGCCCATAAATGAATAGAAGACCATAGTAAGCAATTCACAACAAAGATGGCCCTATTCTGTTAAAGTTTCAATCAAATGAAAATAAGGGGCTGGAGTCATCCATACAGAGGGCAACTTGGAAGGAAATTCTTGGCAGGACCTGCTTCTTCCTAAGCATCACTTCACGCCAAGTACATTCCTTCATGGACCCCTCTCAACCATCCTTTGAGATGGAGTCATTACTACTGGCTCCTTACAGGTGAAGCCAAGAATGCAGAGGGCAGAGAGCATGCTCAAGAACCCAAAGTTGGTCAGGACTTTGTGGGCTAGCTTTTGCTTGCTGTTCTGAATTTACAGTTTTAGAGGAATCCTGAGTGAGGAAACTGCAGAGGTGTGGTTTAGGGTGATTTCTGAGCCTTTACCTGCTGCCACACTCTAGCTTCTGCTTTTGCAATGCTTTCCTTGAGTGCAGCCTGTTGAAGCTGCTCTTCTTGGTTCAGAATACTTGCCCCAATATCTGTGTATTTGGAGAAAAATTATTACAGATCTCTGTAGACTGTTGCCTGGCTTTCCTTTCTATCATCAGCTAATTACTTATGGGAGCCATCTAGGAGACACATCCTATTAGGTGATGTCAAGCGTTTTAATTATTTTTGGTGCTAAAGAGTTGAACCGATCATGCTAAGCATGCTCCTTTCCACTCAGATGTATCCTCAGCCTACACTTTCTTCTTTGAAGATACCCATTGGAAGAGTAAGTTCTCCACTAACTGATTAAGAGGGAACTCATGACTCAGGCCTAAACAGTCAGTTATCTTTGCATACACACACTCTAAACAGCAGGCAATGCAAACAAATGCCCTGCAAGATGTGGCACACTCAAGGCAGAATGTGGATCCACAAGGCACTGGCACATTCTTCGTCTCCCTCCTTGCTTCTGACAGGGTGCTTTCTTTAATACATCATGTCTATGCCTTTCATCAGTGTTGGTCAGTTTCACTCTGTCAGCTGTGGAGTGAACTAGGTTTCTAGCTTACTGTTACTCTGTTAGGGATCTAATTGGACTTCCACATAACATCCCACAATACCTTCTCCACTCAAAGTGTAACTCTAGAGAAGGTAGAGAGACACACAATTCTGGACCTGGAGCTAAGAACTGAGCCCTTTGGTACAGTCTCAGGGTTTGCACATCTCCTCACCTGAGGTGGCCCTTAAATTGTTATAGCTTGGCAATCATATGTGTATTTGCTCAACATCTACTGTGGTAACAGGCCCCACTTCTCTCAAGAGTTCCCTCACTTGAGTGGTGTGGTAAGGTTGCCAATGGCATCATCCAGATTGCTTGGCCTTTCTTTCTTATAGAAGCTAGTCTGGAATCAGGCAGAGTCAAGCCTGACCAACTACACTCTTCCCTAGTTTTTTTTTTTGCATAAGAGTGTAAAGAGAAAATAGCTTCTTTTCCACTGGGATTTCTAAACTCGGGTTAATACATGTTAGAACTATTTGTATCCATATCCTTTTCTGGATGCCGAGTAGGCAGGACTGCAGTACCAGCTCAGCCAATTCACCGAGTGTGAGCATGGTAGACTAAAATCCTGATAACCTTCAGTTTTTGTTAAAAGGATCAAGAAATTACATCACAAAATTCCACTTTATGTGTTCTGTTCAAAGTTGTTTCCATCACCTACAGCTGAAAGATACGTTTTTGGAATAAAACTTTACCATTAGATCATTAATGAATCTTTATAAAATTTATTAGTTTGCTTTTTAATAGATTTATTTTTATTACTTTAAATTTGTGAGAAGGTGTGTGTATCTGTATGTTAGTATGTTCAAGTACTCCCAGGGACCAGAGACATTGGATTCCCTGTAGTTACAAACAGTTGATGTGGGTGCTGGGAACTGAAGTTGGACCCTCTGGAAGAGCAGCAAGTGCTCTTAACTGCTGAGCCATCTCTCCAGTGACCCCCTATTAGTGAGTCTTAAAACATAAAGCAGTAAATACTGTGGTAGAGATGGATGCATATAATCTCAGTATTGTATAAATTCATTACATTCATAAAAATGGGTCACAAATGTTGAGTGCTATTATCCTTTTTAATGTTCAAATATCATTGTATTTGTTGTTCTCAACCTTAACTGCAGAAGACATCTACAGAACTTTCTGAAAACATACATGCTGAGAAAGGAAACACTATTAATGAAAACTGCTTTAACGAGTCTAGAAACCACTGTGCAGATGAAAACAAGTCAGCATCAAAGGGCCACACAGCGTATGACTTTGTTTGGTAGCAGTCTTATGTGATAAAATTATAAAGACAGAGAAATAGATTGATGGCTGCCAGAACTTTGAAAAGTATGACTGACTGTTACTGGATAGCACAAAGAAGTTTCTTTGTGGTGATGCTTACATGAATATACATGTGATACATTTCACAGAACTGCACTTCTAAGGGGGGAAATAATGTGTAAGGTATGTAAGTGAGTTAAGAGCATTGTTCTTATTGTGCTAACTTCCCAGTTTTGACAATGTACCAAGATTACATAAGAAACCAGTGGGAAAAGCAGGGGTCCAGGCGAACTCTTTGATCCCTTTTTGCAACCTATGAATCAAACTACTCCAAAACAGAGAGTGTTTTAAAGGTGTAAGAGGAAAATGTACATGGTGAGGCCTGTCCTGGGGGTTGTGATAGCAACAATCACTGTCCTGGGAAATAAGGTGTTTTTTGAGTTTACTTACACAGAAGGCAGAATTCTGGCTCTCTTTTGACTCATAATAACTTAATGACAAATACAGGCAAGTGAATATAAAATACTGACTTCTACACACATTTGTCTGCTCATGGTTTAGATTCATATGTCCTATAAAGTATAAGGAACTATTAAAGTGTATCATTAAATCATTACAGAATGGGGAAAGCACTGTCTTGGGTCTAAAAATTATTTTAGAGATTACAATTAGTAATCCACACCAACAATGTGCTGACGGTTACAATCAGTTTGGGAACTGATGTTTTAGAGGATGTCTCTAATTTTATTTCTCCTGCCTTTTAGTTCAGCTCTTTAACTTCTCTTTTAGTAAATTAGGAGTGAAATCAAGTAACCATTAGCTTACCACATTCATGCTAAAGAAGACAGGAAAAATATTTGAAGAGTCCTTAGAAAATATGCATAAAATCTAGGATTAGATCGAAAATTTTCTGGGTGTAAGTGAGGAATGGAAATATGAATTATAATTCACTTGCTTATATACTATATATATGTATATGTGATAAATATTCCTATATTATTTATATGTATCTGCTTTTGTCACTAGCTACAAAGTAAAGGCTAAGTTTTTTACACTCATTTATGGGATATTTAGATATTTTCTCTCCTATATGTATGAAAAGTCCCCAAGTACAGGCAAAGTTAGAAAGATCACACATTTACTATGATGTTCCAGGTGTTAAACAGGTACAATATTTCAGCAAAGCTTCAAAACAATTTAAAAGATACACATTAATGTTCCAATTCACAACAAGAAACATATTGAGAGGCTGAAAACTCTTTCCCACGCACAAAACTGTTAAGTAGAGCGGCTGCATTCCAACACACTACCATTTCATGATGGAATTCCTACAGAGGCAAGTAACCTCGAACAGGAAGGAGCCGAGAATAACACACAATGCTATTCTATGCTATAACAAATGAAAATAATAAAATCACTGCCGGGCATGGTGGTGTTGCACCTTTAATCCCAGCACTCGGGAGACAGAGGCAGGCGGATCTCTGTGAGTTTGAGGCCAGCCTGGTCTACAGAGCAAGTTCCAGGACAGCTAGGGCAACACAAAGAAACTCTATCTCAAAAGATTTCCCACCCCCACCCCCACCCCCACCCCCAAAAAGAGTAAAATCACTTACTCAGTATATCTTTGTGAGTGTAAAAGCGTGTCTTAAATGGCTTGTATTCATGGATCCGTTTGAAGGTTTCTCCGAAAGGGGCTGGTGGGATTATTTTATGGCAAACAGCACAGCAAATAAAATTAGTATAATCTGGATTTCTGATCATAGTTAAAGTTCTGATTCCTTTTACTGCTTACAGTTAAAATAATACCAGGATCAGGAAAAAAAATGGTAGTTTCAAGAGAAGCTAGAACTCTAAGAAAGCTGGAAGAGGGTCAGGGTTTTAAGATTCTGTTAGAGGCTGGTAAGGACTAAACAATCCATCATGATTAGGCAGTGGCTATACGTCTAAGGAATGGTACTAACAGCCTCTGCCATAGAAGCTATGGACACTGGATTTGGGAAGAGATAAGTAGTTTCTCTGTCTGAGTGTCTAGCACTAAGTTGTCAACTTACTTGACAACTGTTGCTAGGTAAGACAAGCTTTGCTCATAAAAGCAACTTGAAATAATGACAACTGACAGCAGAAATGGCTGCTACTCATTTCCCTGAGTTTCCTCTTTCTGCTCCAACAAGTGAACACAATCTTCATGACTTCCCTACAACACAAATTTGTCCTATTGAACTTCTGGAAGTCAGAATCCAAAATGATTTTAGGGCTAAAATAAAGATGCCAGGAGGGCTGGTTCCTTGAAGGGGCTTTGGGGAGACTCTGTTTCCTGTCTTTTCCAGCTTTAAAGGCCATCTTCCTAAGACTCACGGCCTCTGCTTCTGTGGAGGAGCTGCCCTCTCCTCTCATCTTTTGCCTCTCTCTGTGGACCCCTGTGTCTATACCAGGCACCTCCACAGGAGCCAGGAAGGTCCTGTAATCTCAAGATCCTGAATGTGATCAGAGCTGCAAGGTCCCTTTAGCATCTATTCACACGGGCCAGCGGGCAGGGTCTGGATGGCTATGGGAGGGTGCATTAGTCAGCTGACCGCATTCTGTTTGAAGCATGCTTTTGTTAAAGAATTAAGTCTTAACTAGTGGACAGTGGAGGCAGTCTCCAAATCATTTTCAACTTATTATAAATGTGCTTTGGTGGAATGGCAATAAAACTGGGAAACACTGGGATTCTAACTGAAAATTTACTTTGATTACGTCTGTATTCAAAATCACCAAGCCCGATTTTCAGATTTGGGAGGGAATCTTTGTTACTTTTCTATTGCTGTGATAAAACACCATGACCACTGGGCAGTAATGACACACACCTTTAATCCCAGCACTCAGGAGGCAGAGGCCCATGGATCTCTGTGAGTTCGAGGCCAGCCTGGGCTACAGAGCAAGATCCAGGAAAGGCGCCAAAGCTACACAGAGAAACACTGTCTCAAAAAATCAAAAAAATAAAATAAAAAATAACAACAAAAAAAAAAAACCCAAAAACACCACGACCAAGGAAACTTACAAAAGAAAGTATTCAATTCAGCTTATGGTTACAGAGGGTTGAGTCCATGATGGTGGAATAAAGGCGTGGTGGCAAGAACTGGGAACTCACACCTTAAAGTGCAAGCAGGAGGCAGGGAGGGGAACTTCCAAGAGATAACAACAAACATGACAAAATAGAATATAAGATAAAACACAAACCATGACATTGAAGTTGGACAAGGCAACCCAACAGAAGGAAAAGAGTCCCAAGAGCAGGCACAAGAATCAGAGACTCACTCATTCATATGCTCAGAAATCCCATAAAAATACTAAACTGAAAGCTATAATATAGATGCAGAGGACCTGTTGGCCCTATCACTGTGAGTTCATATGAGCCTTGTTCTCCTGGTGTCCTCAATCCCCTCTGGCTCTTACACTCTGCCTCCTCTTCCTTGGCCTTCCCTGAGCTCTTTGGGGAGGGATTTGATAGAGGCATCCCATTTAGAGCTGTGTGTTCCCGTCAGGTGCACACCTTTAATCCCAGCACTCAGGAGACAGAGGGAAGCAGAAGTCTGTGAGTTCAATCAAGGCCAGCCTGGTCTACAAAGAGAGTTCCAGGACAGCCAGGACTGTTAGACAGAGAAACCTCATTTATATATATATATATATATATAGTTAAATAAAATAAAAAAAAAAGAAAAGTGATGTGTTCTAAGGTCTCTCTCTGCCCAGTGTCTGGCTGTGGGTCTCTGTATTTGTTCCCATCTGCTACAGGAGGAAGTGTCTCTGATGATGGCTGAGCACAGCACTGATCTTTGAGTATAGCAGAACATCATTAGGAGTCATTGTTGATACTTTTCTTTCTTTCTTTTTTTTTTTTTTTTTTTTAAGATCAGTAGTATTAGCTTTTACCCTAGGTCTCTGGGATACCCAGTCTCTGGTTCTCGGTCACCTACACAGTGTCAGGTATAGGTTGCATCTCCTGAAGTGGGTCTTAAGTCAAATCAGACATTGGCTGGTTACTCTCACAAGCTTTGTACAACCATTGCGCTAGTATATTTTGCCAGCAGAACAGCATTGTAAATCAAAGGGTTTGTGAATGGCTTGGAGTTTTCATTTCTCTTTTGGTGGCCTGCAGAGTACCTTCCCGTACCAAAGACACTAGAACACAGGGATGAAGGTTATGTAGGCACCAGCTTGACCTCTCCATGTTCACTGAGTTGTGTAGGAGTTGTCTTAAGCAGTGGGGCCTTGCTGTCAGTTTGTGGAGAGCAACCCTATAGTCTTAGCAAAAGCCTGAGTTGTTTGGGAATTTCCATAAGATCCCTTTGGCCAATAACTCAATTGGATGTAACCTGGCCCTGTATTAGAAGCTTCATTTGGTGACAAGAGATCTCCCCCATTATTTGGAGACTTCATTAAATGGCCTTTATATATTTTAGAAAGTTTCCACGACACTATGTTTCCATATCACAACTCCAATATAGCTGTCTCTCCCATATTCCCTCCTCCTTCTCCCCACCTGATCCTTTCATTCCCCCACCAACACCCCTTCTACCCATAACATCTATCTCCCCCTCCTAGGGAGATCCATGTGTCCCCTCTATTCCTCTATACCTAACCTCTCTGGTTACAGACTGTAGCTTGGTTATTATTTACTTAGTGGCTAATATCCACATGTAAGCAAATATATACCATGTCTGTTTTCCTGGGTCTGAGTTACCTCAGGATGATCTTTTCTAGTCCCATCCATTTGCCTGCAAATTTCATGTCATTTTTTTAAACAGCTGAGTAATACTCCGTTGTGCAAATGTACATTTTCTTTATCCATTTCTTCTGTTGAGGGACATCTAGGTTGTTTCCAATTTCTGGCCATTATGAATAGAGCAGCAATGAATATGGTTAAGCAAATGTCTCCGTAGTAAGATGTAGAGTCCTTTGGGTATATGCCCAAGAGTGGTATAGCTGGGTAATGAGGTAGATGGACCCATTTTTCTGAGGAACCACTGTATTGATTTCCATAGTGGCTGTACAAGTTTGCACTCCCACCAGCAATGGATGAGTGTTCCTTATTCCACATCCTCACCAGCATGAGCTATCAACTTTACTATTGATCTTAACCATTCTGACAGATGTAATACAGAATCTCAAAGTAATTTTGATTTGCATTCCCCTGGTGGCTAAGGATGTTGAATATTTCTTTAAGTGTTTGTCAGCCATTTGAGTTTCCTCTATTGTGAAGTCTGTTTAGCTCTGTACCCCCATTTTTTAAATGCATTATTTGATTTTTTAATATCTATGGTGATATTTTATTTGTACTGAAATGTGATTTTATTTGTATGTTAATAAATAAAGTTGCCTGGGGGTCAGAGCTAATAGCAAGCCATAGCAGAAGCTGGGTGGTGGTGGCGCACGCCTTTAATCCCAGCACTTGGGAGGCAGACCTAGGCAGATTTCTGTGTGTTCAAGAATACAGCCAGCATGGAGACACAAGCCTTTAATCTCAATACCAACCATAGAGGACCTGGAGGTCTGTACAGACAGGCAGTGACGAGGAGGTCATGTGGTTAGGTTTACAACCAATGAGAAGGCAGAACAGAAAGTCAATAAAAAGGACAGACACACAGGAAGTAGGCCTCTGGCTGAGGGAAGGACAGCAGCAGCAGGAAGGGTAAGGAGGTTTTTAGTCTCAGCTCTTAGCTATTGCTCTGACCTCTTGGCTTTTAACTCTGTATTTGGCTCTGTGTTTCTTATTTAACAAGATGGTTACATCTACAAATACCTAGTTTTATTCCTTTATATATTTTGGATATTAGTTCCCTATCAGATGTGGAGTTGATAAAAATCCTTTCCTATTCTGTAGGCTGCCACTTTGTCTGAATGACGGTGTCCTTTGCCTTACAGTTTTTCAGTTTCATGAGGTTCCATTTATTAACTGTTGATCTTAGTGCCCGCACTAATGATGTTCTGTTCAGAAAGTCTTCTCCCGTGCCAATGCATTCAGGTTATTCCCCACTTTCTCTTCTGTAAGGTTCACTATAACATTTTTAAAAGAAAAACTCCAATTACTTTGTTTTATTCTTCCATTTAGCTATGATTTTAGTATCTGAAGGGGGTATCTTCTCTATTAAACAGCAAAACATGGATGCAAAGGTGTAATTCACCTTAAAACATTAGAAACTCCATGCAAATTTAACAGTACTGGTTACTTTTTTTTATACAGAATTTAACAAAAAAGACTTCCATTCTTATGGCATTTTCATAGAAGAAATATTGAGAAATCTTTTGTGGGAAAAGAATGAGACAATAGCTGCAGCTGTAACTAAATTTACTACAGTGGACTGTTTCCAACTGTATATTCTCTCATTAACAGATTACAGAACAAGAAGCAATTAGCATAATTCCATACTCTATCATAAAGTCTTTCATTTGAAGATTTCGGAGCCTGTAATAAGGCTCCATCTGAAGGAACCAGCACTTTAATCCCATTTAGATGTTTTTCTCCTCATGTAACGATGCCCTTCACTATCAACAGCTTCATAGAGGTCCTTTTTGTTCTCTTGTGTTGCATGCAGATAACCAATATAAGCCACACAAAGTGAAAGGGCTACCAACCCAAAGGCCATTACAGGTTTGTTCTGTCAAAGAGAGAAAATTATAAAGTGTCAGTGAGACTAATAATTCAAGGAGGGTAAATATCACATTGCACTTCCCTCTTGGCATGACAAGTCATTATTAGCACCCCAGCATTCTAATGACAGTATTTTCATTCCAATCATTTTATTCAATCAGCTTAACTCCTGGGTATTTACAGATGATATGAGACTCCTGCGTCTCATCTCCAGTCTTCTCTTTATAGTCTGGGCAGCTTAGACCCCTGCCCTAGGAAGTAAAAGCTGAGCGAGGAGGGAGGCATGAACACTGTTCTACAGCTGTCCCTTCTCTGAGCTGCAATTCCAACTTAGTTTATTTTATTAGAATGTAAGGAATATAGTACACATGCTATTTCTCTTGCCCAACACATGGATAAGTCACAAAAACTTCCATAACTTATATTATGTACAGCAATGGAAATATATACGCCCTTCTTCTGGAACCTTCTCTACTCAAGAATTTTACTATGCTGTTTTAATTACCTTGGGGTATTGCTGGAAAACCCAAGATTCTAAAAACCAAAGTAATATAGCTTTGAATTAAAGGGGTGGGATTTCCAGAAATGCCTCTCTATTCTTTGCAATCCCTGTAAATATAAAAACCAGACATGCCCACCTTTGTACATGTTTATAGTTAATAAACTGGCTTTTCCTTGGATAGTGCACATGCACAGCACTAATACAAACAGTAGTTTCTGCTTCTGCCTCCATGTCTATTACAGTAATCCCCCATGCCCAAAGAGGGTACATTCCAAGAACCTCAGTGAACACCTAAAACCAGAGATTGCGCCAGACCCTAAGACAGTATATACAATGCTTTTCTTGTAACACTTGTCTATGATTAGGTTTGGTTTATAAACTAAACACAATGCACAACTAATAACAATAATAAAATAGAACAATTATAATAACATATTGTAAGTAATTAGATATTCTTTCCCTCTTTAGTCAAAACAAATATTAATATATTTGGGGGACTTGGTTGACAGAGAACTGGAAAGAGAAATATCTAAGGGGAAACTACTGTACTATTATTTTTTCAAAGCTCAGTCTCAAAATAAATGTCAATTTTTATCATCTGGATAAATATCTAAGAAAGGCTACAAGTTCAGAGCAGTTTAAATTTGGAATCATGAAATGTCTTCAACTATTAAAATTACATGACAGCTAAGGATTTTTAAATACTTTAATTAATTTGACCCATTTAACCTTAAAACAGTTAACAATGACCCGGCAGTGGTGGCACAAACCTTTAATCCCAGCAAGCAGAGGCAGGCAGATCTCTGCGAGTTCGAGGCCAGCCTGGTCTACAGAGCGAGTTCCAGGACAGGCTCCAAAACTACACAGAGAAACCCTGTCTTGAAAAACCAACCAACCAAACAAACAAAACCAATTAAAAATGACAACTATTACTGAAATTCTTATCGAGTATGAAATACTTCAATATTTATCATATTTAAAAATTTTATTTCGCCGGGCGGTGGTGGCGCACGCCTTTAATCCCAGCACTCGGGAGGCAGAGCCAGGCGGATCTCTGTGAGTTCGGGGCCAGCCTGGACTACCAAGTGAGTTCCAGGAAAGGCGCAAAGCTACACAGAGAAACCCTGTCTCAAAAAACCAAAAAAAAAAAAAATTTTATTTCATTTATTTTTGTGAGTAAAATTTATATTTAAAAATAAAGTTCATCAAATGAAATATATTCACCAGTTTGCAACACCAACAGAAATAATCTAGCTACCCATCTAACAGCATATAAATGTATGTTTTGGAGTTTTCTATATGAAACAGCATTTAAAATTTGCCTTTATAAGACAAGGTCTCAGGTGGTAGCCTCAGGCTGGCCTCAAAACTGATTCTCCTCCAGCCCTTGCCTCCCAAGGGCTGGGATTAGAGGTATGTACCACCATGACCAGTTTAGGGGTGTTCTTAGTCAGCATAAAATGTCCTTGATACAAACAAATGCTACGGAAAAGTGAACAAGTCTCCTGGATGTATTTCTTACAGGTTTAATGAAGAGCTCAGGATTCACAGCTCGAAATAAGGTTGTTGTGTGCGTCCCTCGGAGGCCTGGGTTTTCAAAGTTCCTCTCTTTTGGTGGTTCTTTCTTAACTGTTGGAGGCTCGGGTGCTGAAGACATCTTGACTACTGAAGAATATCACCTAAAAACAATATATATATATATTTTTTTCTTCATACTTATTTTTTGATAAACCTTTCTCTATTTGAGACAGTCTTGCTATGCAGCCCTGGCTGGCCTGGAACTCCAAACGTAGACCATGCTGGCCTCGAACTCAGAGAGACCCGCCTACCTGTGGTGGTGGGATTAAAGGTGTGCTCCATCAGGTTGGGCCCGAAGCTCTTAAAACAAACAGACAAACCAACCACACTCTTTCTAATTCTAGAGGTGCTCCAAGAGTGAGCACCCCCTGGTTATTTTTACATGGTGCTTTAGGTTTTGCTGGGTAAAATGACTCTTCCCATTTATCTCCCTCCCTCCTCTCTCTCCTCCCCTCCCTCCTCTCCTCTCCTTCCTTTCTCAGGTAAGCAAACCGAGTACAGTTTGGGAAATGGTTTGCTGGCCTCAGTCCCACCGTAGCCAGGGCGAAGGCAGAAGAGGAGTGAGGATAACTACCACACAATGCAGTGACGCAGGGACTTGCTAGTGACAACCTAAGGGAAAGACTGCAACTTCAGGAACAATCCATGTTAGGGAGCTTTAGCATTCATACCTAGGCACCAGTGCCTTGTACAAGTATTCTTGACTCACTAAGGCTTCTGTGTCACAGAAATGAAAAGAGTATTTTTGCAACACTTATGGAGAAAACTGGATGCTCAATACTTTTGCTACAGTGACCACTAAATATTCACCTTCAGCATTGAATTGGGTTGATTACTGTCAGGACCATCAGTTTACAAGGAAAGAATTTCCCATTTTCTTTCCCTTTTTTTTTTTTTTATAAAAAAAAGATTTATTTATTATGTATATAGCATTCTGTTTGCATATATTCCTACACTCCAGAAGAGGGCACCAGATCTCACTACAGATGGTTGTGAGCTGCCATGTGGTTGCTGGGAACTGAACTCAGGACCTCTGGAAGAGCTGCCTGTGCTCTTCACCTGTGAGCCATCTCTCCAACTTTCCATTTTCTACACTTGCCAGGTAAAGGTTGGTCTATCACTTATTCTCCATGTGTGTTACAGTTATTACTGCCAAGTCTTCTCCCATCACTGCTGACTTTCTGCTTCCACTTAGACCAGTGCAGGATTCACTAGCTCTTGAGAGTTCAATTGCTCCCAGTAACCGAAGTCTTTAGACCCCAACTTGTGACACCAGTGATATAAGCAACTGAGGGCAGAAGCTGTTTAAATACGTTATTGACTGTAGTATTCCTCCAGGTGCAGTGTGAAGCTCTCACAGGAACCATGTCTGCTTTCTGTCCATCATACAGATGGCTTTATAGACCACAGGGTCTCAGCAACCACGTGAATGGTTTGCTTCATGTGTAAGCTCTCAGTTTTTTCCTCCTTGTCTAAAATTTGAGCTTTTCTGTAACTGGTTTCAAAAGTGAACTTCCAGTGTGTGAATTAAACTTTAATCTGAAAGAGTTACAGGACAGCCAGGGCTACACAGAAAAACTGTGTCTCAGGAAAAAAAAAAGAAAGAAAGAAAGAAAGAAAGAGAGGGGGGAGGGAGGGAGAGAGGGAGGGAGGAGGAAGGAGAAAGGGAGGAGAAGGGAAGGAGACAGGGAAGGGAGGGGAGGGAATCAAGAAATTGTTGTAGGTGAGCACATGTGTGTGTGTGTGTGTGTGTGTGTGTGTGTACACATGAACAGAATTTTTCATACTCATTTATAAAGATTTATACTAAGCTTATTTCATATGTTGCTCTCTAATAAAATGTATTTTTCTTTGTTCTGCCCTTCTTCCTTTTTGTGAGGGAAAGGGTATACTTCAAAGCAAGAGAATGCAACCCATGAAATCATGATACAGTATGGAAGTCCAAACCACATGGCTGTAAACCAAGTCAGGATGAATCATCTTTTACTATATTTTTCTCCTCTACTGTAGCAAAATTATCTTCAGGGTGATGATCCAGAACACACTTGGCAACTAACATGTGAACATTCACTGGATAGGCTGGAGAGATGGCCCGGCAGTTCAGAGTACGCATTGCTCTTGGAGAAGACGGACCAGTTCCCAGCATCCACATGGTGGCTCACAACTGCCTGTAACTCTAGTTCCAGGGGATCAAAGGCTCTCTCCTGGCCTCCACCGGCCCCAGGCATGCACATGGTACACATACATGCAGACAAACACGTATTCTCCCCACTCTTCCCTGAGGGACTATGAGCAGCTAACTAATGTTAGTAGAGGAGCATCATTTTCTTCATTGGTACAGTCACTGGCAAGTTGATCTTGCTCTAGTAAATATGTTTCTACCCCACACTCCAGCAGAAATTAAACACACACACACACACACACACACACACACACACACACACACACACACGGGACTTTGGGGGAAGAAAGGGTTCAAAAGCAGTGGGGGAGAAGAGTGGGCAATGGGGGTGAAAACAACCAAAGCTCATTATTTAAATGCCCGGAAACTGTCAAACAATATGTATTTTTAATTCACTCGAGGGGCTGAGATGGTTTAGTACAGTGCTTGCCAAAGAAGCCTGAGGACCGGAATTCAGTCCCTGGCACCTACAGAAAACCCAGGCTAGTGGTGTCTGCTTGAAGTCCTCGTGCTGGGGAGGCAGGCCTATCTCGGCGGCTCACTGACCAGCCAGCCCAGTGGGATCAGGAAGTTCCAGGCTCCAGTGAGAAACTGCCTCAGAAGGCAAGGCTCTTGAGGAACACCAGAGGATGGCCTCTGGCTTCTGGATGCAGACACACATATGTGCACCTCGACAAATGGACTGCCTGTGTGTGTGTGTGTGTGTGTGTGTGTGTGTGTGTGTGTGTGTGTGTGTGTGCGCGTGCGCACAAAATTCATTAGAACCAAATCGGCATGGCTACCTATATTACCCTGTACATGAAAATATAAACAATGTAAGAATTACTCTAGGAAAAAGATTCTATTTTCAAATATATAGAGAAAGCATTGCTTTAAATGGACAACACACTAATGCCAGTACAAAAACACGTGCTGTTAGTTACACTTACTCTTTCAGCGCTTAAGAAAGGAACTTCAAGTCTGGAGTAGGACACCTTAAAAAAGTTTAAATTGCCTGGCGGTGGTAGCACATGCCTTTAATCCCAGCACTTGGGAGGCAAAGGACTGGCCTACAGAGTGAGTTCTAGGACATCCAGAGCCACACAGGGAAACTCTATCTTGAAAAATCAACAATAGATAAATAAATAATAAAGCAAGTTTGAGAAATAATCAGAGGACTTTATGGCTTGAGGAAATCAAGCATAGACACCCTCAATTTTGGTACTTTATAAAAGGATTGATACTATTGACTGAAATGTTACAGATGTGGATTTAACATTTTTTTTTAAAGGAAAGATGTTGACAAAATAATGGTCATCCTACAGACCTAGTCCAACCTTCCTAGCCCCATGTCTTTTTCCTAGGAGGGTAGGATAACCCAGTTCTTCCATTTTTCAGCCAACTCCTAATCCTCACCATCTTTCTCCAAAAATGATTTTTTGAGGAAAGTATTTTGCACTGAGAAGTTAATACAAGACACAAGACCCATAAGATTTGCGATCACTTAAATTTAAAAGCCTGAGTTTTGGCCGGGCGGTGGTGGCGCACGCCTTTAATCCCAGCACTCAGGAGGCAGAGGCAGGCGGATCTCTGTGAGTTCGAGGCCAGCCTGGGCTACAGCGCGAGATCCAGGAAAGCCGCAAAGCTACACAGAGAAACCCTGTCTCGAAAAAAACCAAAAAAAAAGCCTGAGTTTTGTCCGTTTTTACTGTAAAATATAACTTTAAAAAGGAAATTAACACAACAAAACACCCTTCCCGTCTCGTGAGTTACCCCACTTGTGGACCATGGAAAGGTACTGTCACCATGGCAGGCAATCTGAAGGCTGTAAAGCTTTGCACACCCTGCTCCGGATGTCTAGCCTCCTCGGGCGGCCTCGGGTGAAAACAACCAAAACTCATTATATAAATGCCCGGAAACTGTCAAACAATATGTATTTTTAATTGGTCGGTCGCTGCAAGGCTGTGACCTACCCGCAGTTCACGGTGGAAGCCCCCAGAGGTAACTATGGTCAGTGAAGTCTGAACAGTCGACTGTCAGCAACCCGCTGTAGCATCGCGTGCAAGCCACAACACACCCCTGCGAGAGCCCGCAGAGCCTGACCGCGGGCAATCGCGAAGACGGGGAGGTTTCAGCTTGGACGCCGACCCGGGGCAGCTGCGCTCAAACTCTCCCGGCGTCGGTGCGCTCGCTGCAGTACTCACCTTCCGGCTCTCCCGGGGCGCTCCCTCCGCCGCCGGCCGCGGGCTGCGGGAAAGGCCGCACCACAGCGCCACCTATGCCCCGGAGGCCGCAGAGCCGGGCCCGGGCCGACAGAGACCTCTCCGGGAGCGCTGGAGCTGGAACCCTGGGCATGCAGGCCGGTTTGCTTTCTTGGGGCCTTTGACTTTCAGCCTCTCACATTCAAATAAACTTTCGTGTATGTATGTATGTATGTATGTATGTATGTATGTATGTATGTGTGTATGTATGTATGTATGTATGGATGGATGGATGGATGGATGGATATATGTAGATATATATGTGTGTGTATATGTATATATATATATATATACATATATATATATATAGAGAGAGAGAGGAGCACTTCCGTTTCGTGTGTTTTATACATTTATATTTAAAGAGCTATCTAGGAATATGCATTTAATGGACGTGGAAAGTGTATGGCTTAATGAGAGCCAGATCACGAGAGCCACGGAGGCCAAAGGCAAAGCTTTATTCAGGGTAGAACTGCCTGGTGTCCCCAAGAGAAGGGAAGGCAGCATCATCGAAAAGGAGTCTGGGGTTTTATAGGGTGCTTTCAGTTGGGCGGGGGTGTGGTGGGATTACGTTAAGGGACAAGGGACTGGAGTTAGCCAAGTGTTAGGATGGTGGTGGAGGGTTCTGGCTGTCAGAACAGGGGGCTGTAGTCAAGCGTTCTCCTGAGAAAGGGGGCAGCAGACTTCTGAGAAGTGTAAACCGTTTATTTTCCATCCACACCCGTCATCCATCTTGGAGTCTTAGCTGACTCTGTCTTGGGCCAAAGATCCGCGGTACCCAATGTAAAACTTTCTGAGTTGGGGGAAAGGCCTCAGCTTGAACTCTTTCTTCTCGCATTTTGGGAGCCATATGCAGTTAACTCTGGCACTCTGCTAGGGCCTAGAGGTTCAGAGGCAGCAGGTGTCCACAGCTCTGAGACAATAGGCAGGAATGCTGGCTACACACCTTGTTGACTTTTTTGGTTTGTTGGGATATATATCTCAAGCACCTGAATTTTCTCGTGGGTTTAAGTAAAGCTTTTGCAGATGGATTTTTTATTGTAAAACTTGTTCTTTCAGGTAAAACTGAATGTAACAGTTGATTTTGTTGTGCCTGGAATGATAAACCCACGGCACGAGGATAAAAGCATTTAGCAGATTAGAGTCCACCCTGTTGAGCCAGCAGCTTGGTTATCTAGCCCTGGTAATCTTGGCAATCTCTGGTGGTGAGTACTAAAGATTTTAAGTCTGTGGCGCCATTTTCTGAGGACCCAAGAAAGGAGAAACTGGACGCAGTATGGCTTCTAGAGTCAGAGGGGACCAGAGACCTATCTGGCCTCCAGACTCACATGTTGGAAGTGTCTGAGGCATTGGGTTTCTGGGACTCAGCCCAAGAGGCGGTTGATCTGCTTGACTCTGAGTGGTTTAGGGTTTCAGTAACACTTTCCTTGTCGTCTTCGTTGTCTATGCCTCTGGTGTCTCTCTTTCTGGCGTGGTGCCAGGCTATCTGGGTTGTCAATTTGGTTTTTTGGTTTCGCTTTGTTTTCTCACTGTTGGTCTTATTTCTTACTTTGAGATTATGGGTCAGGCTCCATCTATAGGTCCTAAATCTCCCCTAAACCTTATTCTACATTCCTTCAAGGACTCCAAGAAGAACGCCCAGGAATCTGGGGGTTCTGTCTTCACTGGAAAACTCCATACCTTCTTTCGAGTCGAATGGCCGGCATTTGGGGTTGAAGGGACTCCCGAGGGCACTTTTAACCTTTCCATCTCTCTTGCAGTTCATGTGAAAGTCTCTGGCTGCCTGGTCCACCCTGACCAGGAGCCCTACATCATGGCCTGGGTGCTTCTCCTGGAAGACCCCCCAAATGACTTCAGCCACTCCTGCAAAGTCAGTCAGAGGAAACTATCATGGTCTGACCAGTCAAGCCTTAAGCTCCTGTCCTGCCTCTCTCCAAGGAAGACTCCCCACCCCCCACTTCCTATGTGACCCCATCAAGGGCTCTGGCTACCAAGGCTGCCTAGACTTCCCTCCTACCCTACTCCCCTTTACAAGCAGGTCCCCTCAACTGAGAAAAAACCAGCTTCCTCTTCTGCTCCCTTCGCCTATTCCCCTCATACCCTCTCTGGAATGACCTATCAGTCCACTCCTGGTTGTCCGGAATCCCCAATCCTTCCTCTACACCAACCCCTATCCCCATACCAGGTGGCAAACAAGGGGGAAACCGGAACCGAGAACCTTACTGGGTTTACACCCCTTTCACCAGCAGTGACATATATAACTGGAAAAGCCAGACTCTCCTTTCTCTGAGAAACCGCAGGGTATGGTATCTCTTTAGGAAACTATTTTCCATACTCATTTCCCAACTTGGGATAACTATCAACAGCTGTTGCTAACTCTCTTCACATACAAGGAAAGAGAGATTTTGAAGGAGGCAAGAGAGCTGGTACCAAGAGATGATGGCGGCCCACCACCTGGTCACCATCATTGAAGCAGCTTTCCCTTCCCTCCGACCTGAAGGTGTATCACTAGACTTTGCTGGGTCGTCTCCGGCCTATTGCTAAGTGCCTACGAATTTTCCTAAAGCCAGTCAGGTAGTGCAGGAGCCTCAGGAGTCCCCAACCACTTTCCCAGACTGGCTGATGGAAGCATCACACCTACTCTCCCATAGATCCTGAAGCAGAAGAGAATAGGAGGGCCATTAACATAGCCTTTGTGACCCAGTCTGCTCCTGATATAAGAAAGAAATTATAGAGCAGATAGATTTGAAGGAGAAAAAAATCTCTTGAAATTGGTAGAGAAAGTCACTAGAGTATATAATAATTGGGAAGATCAGGAGGAAGAGTTTTTCTGGTGCAAGGGCATCTTGGCAGTCAGGAGCCAAGAAATACAAGGTCACACAATGCAACAAACCTCACATGAGATTTATTGGGGAGAATAACAGAATGGCGCATGCCTCTGAACAGGAAGAGAGAGAGAGCAGAGGTCTGGGTAGAGGGGAGGGCTTTTGTGGGTTCTTGGAGCATGTGCAGTAAGCTAGTGGAAAAGTACAGCATGGCAGGCAGTCTTTCAGCTGATATTGCTGAGTCCTGGGGTGCGGATTTCCAAGCTTCAGGTGCTCCTGGTCAAGCCACAGGTAGGGGGTTTTCTTTTACCCTGGTCTCAGGCTTGGGGCTGAGTCAGCAGCAGGGTATTTTCCCTTGTCCCTGGTTCCTATAGTGGAGCCTTTGAAAAAACAAGTTTTACCAGGTACTGGGGGGTGGTTAAAACATTTGGCTTAAAGTTTAACTAGGTGGAGGAGATACAAAGATTTGACTTCCTTGTCATGAACAGAAGTTTTACAGAAAAGACAGATATTTAATGTTTCTTACACTGGCACTGCTTGTGGAGAACACTGCTTTAGATGAGAGGGAAGTTTCTTTTCTATGTATCAATGGCATTGTTGTCAGTCATGCTGCAATCCCAGCACTTAGGAGGTCAAGGCAGGAGGATCAGGAATCCAAGGTGATTTTGGTGTCATGGTGAGGTCCAGGCCAGCCAGGGTTATATGAAACCCTGTCTCAAAACCAAGAAAACAAAACAGAGCAGACCAATCAGATATTGTTGCCTTTATGTAAAGGGCATAGTGCCTTGTGCACACAGATAAGCACTGGAGAAGCCAGGAAAATTAAACACACAGCTTACCTCTTGAATGGAATGGGGTGTGTAGCTGCTAGGAATGATGTAGATTTACAGCCTGGTGATCCTTTGCTGTCTGATGAGACAGACTCTGACCATATCTCCCAAAATTTATGTTTTTACCTATTCCAGACCTTTCCCCCTAAATCTTGAGCATTGCTTTTACACCATAAAAACCATGCTAATGAACGATATCACTTGTGCTTTGCAACAGCCTAAGTGACTTCTGTGCTATCTTAGGACCAGACCAATCCTGACACCACAGGAGTATGTTGACCTCAGTCAAGCTCCCTAGACCCTAAATCTTAGGCACTATCTCTGAGTCAACAGTACCCATTCTTGTGAAAGAAGCCAGATGTACTTTGTAAAGAATCTCAGTGTAAACAAGGCTTAAATTGTTGTGGACTTGGAGCTCAGGTAATTGCTATCAGAAAACCTTAAATATGGTTAAAGTAAAATGATGTAAGCCAGACTGTAGAAGTCCTGGTCCAGTGCTGGTTACAATAAAATCAAGCTGAGCCAAGTTTCATTCTTACCTCACTCTGGTAATTTTTCCTTGCCTGCTGTAAAGCTTGTAGGGGAATCCCATACCTTTAAATCACATAGTTTCTACTTGGAGGACAGGGATGTATTGATTTAGCTCATTCTATGAAAACTGTCTGAGGACTAGATAGCCAAGAAACCTAGGGTAAAACCAAATACTACCAGTAAAAAACAAACAAAAAAAACCAATAAAATGATTCCTAATGGTATTCTGCTATACTCATCATCAGAGAGGGTTTCTCAAGCAGCAGATGGGAACAGATGCAGAGACCCACACCCAGATATTATGTGGAGAGAGTCTAAACTGGAGGTCTCCATCAAGTTCTTCCCTCAGAGTTCAAAAATTCCTGCAGATGAGGCAGGAAGACACCAAGAGAACAAGGCTCTCTGAAGCAACTAAGCAAAGCTGATATGAACTCCATGTCTTTTGCATATACACTATAGCTATTAGCTTAATATTTTTATAGAACTTGTGACTATGAGAACGAGTGGGTCTCTGACTCCTGTGCCTGCTTTTAGGACTCTTTTCCTCCTGTTGGGTTGCCACGTCCAACTTCAATATGAAAGTTTTTGCTTCATCTTAGTGTGTTTTATTTTGCATGTTTGGTTGTTATCTCCTAGAAACCTGTTCATTTCTAATGAGAGACAGAAAAGGAGTGGATCCAGGGGGGAGGGGAGATGGGTAGGAGCTGGGAGGAGTAAAAGTAGAGAAACTATAATCAGGATATATTGTATGAGAAAAGAATCTACTTTCAATAAGAAAAAGTCTGAGAATTCTAATTTTTTTTTTTTTCGGTTTTTCGAGACAGGGTTTCTCTGTGTAGCTTTGCGCCTTTCCTGGGACTCACTTGGTAGCCCAGGCTGGCCTCGAACTCACAGAGATTCGCCTGGCTCTGCCTCCCAAGTGCTGGGATTAAAGGTGTGCGCCACCACCGCCCAGCCGGGAATTCTAATTTTTAACCCAATAAAGCTTCCAGAAAAGGAGATAAAGCAACTGCATGGCTGCCATTAAATACAAGAGGTCTAATCATAAATCTTTATGGTTTGTGATCATTGTAAGAAATATGAAATATGAGTCTTTTCTATCAAATACTACAAAACTTGTGTTTAGGACAAAGACTTAAAGTCTTTTTATCTCTGCCACCTTGTAAGACTTTTATGTAAATATTTTAATACTTTTTCACTTCCTATGTTCCAGTTCTTCTCAGACTAGCCATTTAATAAGGTTATAAGGTCAGACCCCTTCAATGGGGGAAAGACATAGCTACTACCTGGGTTATAATAAAAAGTAAATGCCTTTCCTCTCTTGATCAACAGTCAAGTTTACCTTGTCCAGGCACTTAAATTGCAGTGGTGATCTCGTTCTCTGAGACCTTGAACATATTTCTAACATCACTGCAAAGACAGTTGATTAGGGCAGTTTTGTTGTAATACAATGGCATTTGTTCTGAGTACTTCCCAAGGCTCACAAAAAGTACAGAGGTTTTTGGGAGGTTTAGAAAATTCATTTACTTTAAACCCTATTGGTTGTAGTATTAAGGCAACTCCAGGTAGTTAAAAGGGAAGTTTATTTTGTGGGGTAACTTACAAGTAAAGGGATAGGTTACAGGGTCTGGGAAAGGTGTAGCGCAGTCCAGCGGTGTTGTCTGGAAAACTCTGCTCAATCTACCTCCAGCATCCAAGATCCAGCAACCAAGAGAGCCAGCATATCTGGATCTCAGGTCTTAAGGGCTCCTGTCTCGGCCCCACCTTATAGGCATGACAGTTACCAAAGCCTCAATGGGGGTAGTACTTCCAGGTCAAAGCTGCAGCAGCTACCCACTACAAAACCCTGTTATTTTAGGACATTAAACAAGTAACTGAGCCACTGAGATGCATAATATTTAATAAAGTGATTCAGCATTCCTAAAAGAGTATTCAATAACGTCTCCAAAAAAAGAAATATACCCCCACCAGGCACAAAAAACCCTGGAGGGTCTCAAGTTCAAACAGATAATGAAGACCTTCTTGTTTCATCTTGGATGTTAGGCACCCTATACCCTGCCTTTTCCTTTCTTATGCCTTTCAATTGGAAACTTGAGCACTTTCTTTAAGTAACATGGAAGTTGGTATAAGACAGATGGTCAAGGTTATTTATAGAATAAATGTTTTTATTCACAGCCAAGCTGTGAATGTGCCAAGTTAAATTAGGTAAGCTGGTGATAAGCTAAGTGCTTTTCTTGTTAGTAACAGCAGTTGTTAAAAATTCACAGTGGAAAGATTAAAATCCAGAGAGGTTACATCTCACAGGAAAACAGTGCCCTCAGAAGAGGCTCGCTCTGATTCTATTTTAGATCAACAAATCTTTACCACTCTGTGGTAGCCCACAGAGGTTTCCTAGTGAGATCTGAGCTTGCTTTACCCAGAAGGACTGTGTAAGAGGATGATTGGACCATGGGCCTGGTTACCAGGTGTTTGGAAGGGTCTACATTTGGTTGTATCTAGCAAGGGTGAGGTCTTTGGCATTGTTATAAAAAGCCCTTTTGAAAAAGTTTTGGGCCATTGGGTATTGATCCAGGTTTTCCTGAAGCTATCCTGTGTTTCTGTCTTTTTTTCCTCTGTCAGCTAGGCTTATCATTCTATCTATCATTCCTTATTCTACTCTCCTCCTCATAGGAACCCTGTAAAAGGTGGGAGCTGGTCCTCCACAGTTGGCACCAGAACTAGGGACTTGGGTGCAGATGAAGTTAAGTGAGAGTAGGAAAGAACCCCATGGGAAGCAGTTGGACATGTCCGGTTTTGTGGTAAAAATGAAGGTAGGGGTATTCTATTCTTTAGGAGTAAAATTTTAAATATAAAGTAGAGTAGTTCAAGTAAAGCTAAATAAGAAAGTAGTTAAAGTTAGGTTGTAACAAGTATCTCTGTCTAAATTTCTCTTTCTCTCTCAATATCTACTAAATTAGGTTTTAAAATGGTAGTATAAATAAGTCATAGAAATGTAGGCTTAGGTATATTAGGATAGAATAGGCTTTAGGTACACAGATATTGTGTAGGCTTACTAGGAAGGAACTTAGGGTAGGCTTAGAATTTCCCTAGTGCTAGAACTGGGATGCAGAGGGCAGCATCCAGGACCTGTTAGCTGCTGTGAACTTGGCAGTCTGAGCAGCTTCAGAAACTTCAGAAGCCACCAACAATGGTGGATGCCAGAGCCAGCACAAGCAGCAACAGCCAGACATCGGCAGCAGCCAGACATCGGCAGCTGAGACCTGAGGGGCATCAGCACAGTGCAGGTGGCAGATGCCCAAGAGCCTGTGAGAGCAGTGAGGTTCTGTGTGTTTTCTACCATGAGGAGCTGTGGTGAAGAGAATACAGTCAGTCAGGGTACTTGTGAAAGCCTGACTGCCATAGCTTGAGGCTACACTCAACTGTGACAAGCTGAACAGCAGAAATACACACCAAGAGAGAGGCAAATGACAGACAGTGACTTGGAGTGAAGCAGAGACTTCAGACTCCAGCAGTCAGAGCTCCCGGAGTCAGAGTCCCTGATGTCTGGAGCCCAGCAGAGACGCCTTGGAAGCAGCAGCCAGATGGGCAGCTAAGACATGCCCCTGTGTGGAACGGCATCAAGAACTGCTGAGACTGACACAGCCTGAGCTCCTAGTGGCAGGGTGTGGTTGGAACCAGGGAATTGCCCTGGGGGCAGCATTCAGCCATGCAAGCAAGACAATGCTCTTGGAGGAGGACTCCCAGCTGAGTAGGTAATGGAGCCAGGGGTGCAGTGGCCATAACTGGCTGTGACTGGGTTTCCTGCTGGAGCCAGGGTTGCTGTATGCAAGCTACAGCTTGTAGTAATGGGAAAAATTTTGAGCCCATGTGGCAAGAGGCAGTTGAGAGTGCTCGGGCCTCAGGACTGGGATTGTAAAAGCTGAAATGGAACAGAGCTGACAACTAAAGTCATTAAGTTTCTGTTTGCTCACTGTGCAGAGAGCTTTTCTGAGGACCTCATAGCAGCTCAGTTACTATGGCAGTTACTTCACTCTGAGACAAGGTTCCTAGGAAAGACTGCCATTAAATGCTGCTGTAGGCCGGGCGGTGGTGGCACACGCCTTTAATCCCAGCACTCGGGAGGCAGAGCCAGGCGGATCTCTGTGAGTTTGAGGCCAGCCTGGGCTACCAAGTGAGTCCCAGGAAAGGCGCAAAGCTGCACAGAGAAACCCTGTCTCGAAAAACCAAAAAAAAAAAAAAAAAAAATGCTGCTGTAACTGAAAGTGCCTCTGTGGCTGAGAACAAAAGTTTCAGAGATGCTTGTTTGAGCTAGAATTGTTAACTGCACAAAGTTTTTGGTTATGAGTTTCTTCATATTTGGAAGACTGGTACCAGAATTCATTTTTTGAACTTTTCAGACTTAAGAAATGAGATGGATAGAAGTGATTCCATTTCAATGGGACAGTTTTGACTTTACCTACACATATAGACTCTATTAACTGTGGTGATTCACAAACTGTTTTGTGTTAAAAATGGAACTGCTTAAATGGAGAATTTTGGGTTTTTTTTTCTCAAGCTCAAGATGCAGGTTAAAAAATTATAAAGAAAAGGAGGAATTAATATTCCTTAGTCTATTTAATTTAATTAAAATTTTTTTCTTGTTATTTGAGTGGACTGATGTTAATTTGTGTTAATGTACCCTATGTTTTGTGTAGTTCTATTAAGAAATTGCTTTTGGATTTTTGTTAAAGTTTTTAAAGTGTTAATGGTTTATCGAGATTATTGCTTTTGAATGTAGGTTTGTAGGAATTGTAATTGTGTATAGTCATATTTATGTTAGAGTTATTATGCTAACCTATTGATACGGATGCACCATGGTTTGGTGAAGTTAAGGGAGTATTTAAGTTTGATGCGGATGCATCAGAAGTTTATCCTATGTTTTGTTAGCAAGAAATGCAAATGGTTCTATTAAGAGATTGCTTTAGCTCTTCCACAGGAGGTCTACACACTGCCAATTGTACCGCCGCCATGTCTCTAGTGATCCCTGAGAAGTTCCAGCACATTTTGCAAGTACTCAACACCAACATTGATGGGCGGCAGAAAATAGCCTTTGCCATCACTGCCATTAAGGGTATGGGGCGGAGATATGCTCATGTGGTGTTGAGGAAAGCAGACATTGACCTCACCAAGAGGGTTGGAGAACTCACGGAGGACGAGGTGGAATGTGTGATCACCATCATGCAGAATCCACGACAGTACAAGATCCCAGACTGGTTCTTGAACAGACAGAAGGACACGAAGGATGGGAAGTACAGCCAGGTTCTGGCCAATGGTCTAGACAACAAGCTGTGTGAGGACCTGGAGCATCTGAAGAAGACTAGAGCCCACAGGGGGCTGTGCCACTTTTGGGGCCTTTGTGTCCGAGGTCAGCACACCAAGACCACTGGCCGCCAGGGCCGTACTGTGGGTGTTTCCAAGAAGAAATGAGTCCCTGGGCCTTTGCTGTTAATAAATAGTTTATATGCCTGTGGGGAGAAAAAAAAAAGAGATTGCTTTAAAAAATATTTTTGCTAAAGTTTTTAAAGTGTTAATGGTTTTATTAAGAGTTTGTTTTTGGATGTAAGTTTGAAAGAATTGTAATTATGTATAGTAATATTTAAGTTAGAATTATGTTAACCTGTTAATGTTTGGTGAAGCTAAGAGAGTCTTTAAGTTTAATGCAGTTGCATCTGGAGTTTATTGATTTATTTGATGTGGTTGCATCAAGAGTTTTTTTTTTTTAATTTAAAAAAGGGCTTGGTACAGCTAAGACTGTTGTAGTCATCTTAGACCCATTCCAAAAGGCCATTCCATCTTTATCATCCTTTACTCCTTTACAAAGGGAGCAGGAGTATTGCTGTGGTAATTCCAGTTACTCGCAAGCTCTTAGTGGGAACCTGAGTCAGAGCTACCTAGAGTTAAGCTCTGTACTCCTACTTTAAAATATTAAGAAGAGGGACCTGTGGGATGGTGATCACACATTCCACCTCGTCCTCATTTCCTAATGAGATCTTATCTTGCTTTACCCAGCAGGTGTGCATAAGAGGATGATTGGACCACGGGTCTGGGTATCAGGTGTTTGGAAGGATCTATACTTGGTTGTATCTAGCAAGGGGGATGCCTTTTGCCTCCCTTCCCTTGGCATTTTTTTTAAGATTTATTTATTTATTACGTAAACAGTGTTCTGCCTGCATGTGTCCTTGCAGGCCAGAAAAGGGCACCAGATCTAATTGCAAGTGGTTGTGAGCTACCATGTGGTTGCTGGGAATTGAACTCAGGACCTCTGGAAGAGTAGTCAGTGCTCTTAATCACTGAGCCATCTCTCAGTTATAAAAAAAAGGGCATTGTTATAAAAAGCCCTTTTGAATAAAGTTCTGGACCACTGGGTATTGACCCAGGTCCTCCTGAAGCTATCCTGTGTTTTTGTCTTTCCTCTTGGCTATGCCTATCATTCTACCTAATATTTCTTATTCCACTCTCCTCCTCATAGGAAACCTTTTAAAAAGTGGGTGGCTGGTCTCCCACACCAGTCCCCCCAAGAAATGAGGAATTCTCTATATCTGATCCATGGAAATATATTTTTCATATTTCTTCCAGAAGGAAGGAGAGCATTGATAAGCAGGAAGATAAAGGATGCTTTACTATCATTACTCAAACATCTGATGAAATAAAGGAAAGGAACACAGGGACATGCTGATAAAATTTAAATTCATCAAGATGAGAAGGATAGTAGGATTATGTAGTTCTGAGGGATTGTTTTCTTATATTTAAGTTTTCTTTTAATATTCTTGACATCTTTCTAGTATATATTTATTATACAAAGTAATAACTCTCTCTATTACATTTACATATATATTGGATTTGTTTTCCATTTATTTTAAGGCAAAATATGGAATTGCAATTTCAGCCTCTATCTTGCTATATTATTACTTGTCTTTGATTTTCTGCATTAGCTGCTTGTCTTGTTTCTATGACAAAATATATTACAAAATCATTTTGAGGAAGTAAGGATTTGCTTTGCTTCACAATTTCAGAGTGCAGTCGATAATGACAGGGAAATTGTGGTGTCAGGAGCTTGAAGGAGCTGGTCATATTGTAGAGAAAATGAACGTTGGTACTCATTTCACTTTCTCCTTTTTACAAAGTCAGGAGACCCCAGCACATGGAACAGTGTTGTCCACATTTAGGGTGAGTTTTCCCATTCCAATTAACTTAATCTGTACATCCTTTACAAATACCCCATCTCACATCTGTGTTAAATTCTAGGTCCTTTCAGGTTGACAATCAGTATTAACTACGATGCTTTCCCATCTCCATTTTTTTTGTCTATTATCTTTTTTAGTTAATTACTTTATTAATTTTCTCAGCCCCATCACATTTTCCCCTCTCTCTCTCCTCTCCTCCCAGTCCCGTCCCACCCCTTCTTCTCCCTCCCATCCATTCCTCCTTCTTTCTCTTCAGAAAAAGGCAGGACCTCTATGCATATCAGCCAGCCATGGCATATCATGTTTTGTTAATTCTTTGAGAATTTCATGAGACATATTTTGATCATATTCATTGCCCTCCTCCAGCTCCTCCTAGAGTTTCCCCTATCTTTCTCTTTCTTAAACAGCAAAACAATACAAAAACATGGCATGCAGTTTGTGTTGGCTGACTGTTCCTGGATGTGGGGCCTGCCCTGGAGTGTGGTCAATATGCCCAGTGTCAGTCCACTGAATAAAACTCACTTTCCTTTTCCCAGGAGTTTTCAATAGTCAACAACTCCTCAGCGTGGGACAGGACTTCATGTCTACCCCACCTGGCCCATGCTGGGATTTTGTCTGGTTTAAGCTTGTGAAGGTTTGCACATGATGTCACAGTCTCTGTGAACTTGTATGTGCATCTGCCTTGTTGTGTCAGGAAAACACCATTTCCTTAAAATCATCCACCACATTTGGCTCTTACAATCTTTTTGCCCCCTCTTTCACATAGATCAACGAGCTCTGAGGGGAAGGGTATGGTATAGACTTACCATTTAAGGCTGACCATTCCAAAGTCTCTTATTCTCTATATGTTGATCAGTTGCGAGTTTCTGTTTTAATGTCCATCTGTTGCAAGAAGAAACTTCCCTGATGAAGGTAGAGTGATGCACTGATCTATAGCAATAGGTCATTAGGAGCTCTTTGTTTAACAGAATAATAGTAATAGGTTTTTCTCTAGGGATCACAACATATAGCTTTGGGTTTGGCCTCACTGACAGGGCCAGGTTTGGGTTCTACATTGTGCAGTGGTCCTTAAATCCAATAACAAATGGTTGGTTACTTCCATTCATGCCACTATTACATGAGTGGGCATATCTTGTTAGGTAGGTCATTATTGTAGCTTAAAGGGTTCCTAGCTGGGTAAGCCGGCACTATGAACACTAGTCAATAGTTATGGAGCTTCAAGTTGAGCACCATCTAGATTTCTCCATGTTCTATGACATAAGTTTGTGGTGCATTCAACAATGGGGTCTTATCATCAAATTCTGGAGAATAACTAGTAGTATTGACCTATAACATTTAATGGTCTCTGCGACCCCATTGGCAAACAACTAAAAAAAGATGACACCTACTTCTGGTACTGGAGGTTTTACTTGATAGCATATGATATCTAGTTGGGGCATTATCTCCCCCCATTATGTGTTAATTTCATTTAAACTCCTTTTATGCATTTTTATATATTTTAGAAAGTTCTACAGTAGTAAGTTTCCATATGGCTTTTTAGACAGCCTCTAGTGTTAGTTATGCTTCCCATATTCCTTTCTTTACCCTGACCTCCCATCCTCCACCCTATTTAATCTTTCCTTTTCCAATTCCCCCTTTATCCCTTTAGAACACTTTATGCTATTTTCCTTTCCTTGGAAGATCCCCCTTGGCCCCTATGGTCCTTTACTGGCTACCCAACCTCTATGGTTATATCTAAAACCTAAAAGCTAATATCCACAAATGAAAAGAAGCAAGTCTTTCTGGATCTGAGGTATCTCACTCATAATGACTGTTTCTAGTTCCATCCATTTACCTGCAAATTTCATAAAATCAGGAATAGTAATAACAGCTGAAAAAATATTCCATTGTATAAATGTACCACATTTTCATTATATCATCATCAGTTGATAGACATCTAAGCTGTTTCAAATTTCTGGGTATTATGACTAGAGCAGCAATAAACATGGATAAGAAAGTACTCCTGTAATACAATGTAGAGTCCTTTGAAGATATGCCCAAGAGTAGTATAGCTGGATCTTGTGTTATATCTATTATCAGCTTTTTAAGGATTCTATAGCCTGGTTTCTATAGGAGCTGTACAAGTTTGCACTCCCACCAGCAGTAAATAAGTATTCCCCTTTACTCACATCTTTGCCATTTGTCATATTTTTTTATTGAAACTGATCATTCTGACTAGGGTAAGATGAAATCTCTAAGTAGTTTTAATTTGTATTTCCCTGATGCCCAAGGATGATGGGCATTTTAAAATTGTTTTTCTGCTATTTGTGTCTTAGTTACTTTTGTATTGCTGTGAAGAGACACCATGACAAAGGTAACTTATAGAAGAAAGCACTTGGGGGAGGGGCTCGCTTACAGTTTCAGAAGGTGAGTCCATGACCATCACAGCAGACAACATGGCAGCAGGCAGGCAGGCATGGTGCTGGAGCAGTAGTTGAGAGTTTACATGTTGAGAAAACAATAGCAAAAGAGAGAGACAGAGACACAGAGAGACAGAAAACTAACTGGGGATGTGTGGGCTTTTGAAATCTCAAAGCCCATCCCCAGTGCCACACCTCCTCCAACAAAGCCACACTTCCTCCAACAAAACCACACCTCCTAATCCTTCCCAAAGAGTTCAACCATTGAAGACCAAGCATTCAAACATATGAGCCTATGGGGGCCATACCACATTGAGGTTTTGTTTTGTTTAGTAATCTTTATAGTCTACATACTAATACTCTGTCAGATATTTAATGGGTAAAATTTTCAACCATTTTACAGGCTGCTTTTTCACTCAAATGGTGGTGTCCCTGCTGTATACAAGCTTTTAAAGGTTTCATGAGGTTTTGTTTATCAATTGCTGGTTTAATTCCTTGCTATTGGGGTCCTGTTCAGAAAGTTCTTTCCTGTGCCAATGAATTCAACTATCTTCTTTACTTTCTCTCTGTCAGAGTTGGGTATCAGGTCTTATGTTGGGGTACTTGATGCATTTGGAGCTGAATTATGTGCAGGGTGATAGATATGGACGTAGTTTAATTCTTCTACAGATAGTTATACAATTTGACCAGCACCATTTGTTGAAGATGCTGTCCTTTTTCCAGTGTATAATTTTGGTTTCTTTGTCCAAAAAATTGGGTGTTTGTAATTGGTTATTGTTGTTTTACTTTTTGGGGGGCCTGCCACCCAGCTCCCAAATAACCACACATGGAGGCTTATACTTTTTTTTTTAAATAAATGCCTGGCCTTAGCTTGTCTTACTCATAGTCAGCTTTTCTTAACTTAAATTATTCCATTTACGTTTTGCCTCTGGGCTTTTTCTTTTTCTTCTGTGTATCTTATTTTCACTCTTACTCCATAGCTAGCTGTATGGCTGTGTGGCTGTGTGGCTGGCCCCTGATATCCTCCTTCTGATCCCTCTAATGTGCTTCTCCTTCTATTTATTCTCTCTGCCTTCCAGCCCCACCTATTTCTCTCTCCTGCCTCACTATTGGCTGTTCAGTTCTTTATTAGACCAGTCAGGTGTTTTAGACAGGCAAAGTAACACAGATTCACAGAGTTAAATAAATTCAACATAAAAGAATGCAACACATCTTTGCACCATTAAAACAAATGTTCCACAGCATAAACACATGTAACACATCTTAATATAATATTCCACAACAAGGTGTCCACAAGTGTGTGGGCCTATCTTTGGGTTTTCAACTTTATTATACTAATCAACATGTCCGTTTTTATGAGAATACTATGCTGTTTTTTTAATTACTGTTTCTTTGTAGTACAACTTAAAATCAGGAATAGTGATACTTCCAGTAGTTATTTTATTGTTCAGGATTGTTTTAACTATCCTGTTTGTGTGTGTATTTTCATATGAATCTTTAAGATTATTCTTTCAATTTCTATAAAGAATTGTATCAGAATTTTGATGGGGATTGAATTTAAACTGTAGAATGATTTTTGGTAAGATGGCCATTTTCACAATATAGATCCGACCAATTCATGAGCATGGGAAGACTTCCAACCTTCTGATGTTTTCTTTAATTAAATATATATATATATATATATATATATATATATATATATATATATACACACACATGTCTCGCTTCTCACTTCAGTTAGAGTTATTCCAAGATATTTTTTGAGGCTATTGTGGAAGTTATTATTTCCCTATGTCTTTCCTGTTATGTTGTTGGTAGTAGTTCTCTCTGAGATGAAAACTTTTCATCTTGGAGGGGAACTTCTCAAGACAGGATGTTTATAGGGAGTGAAACAACAGTATGTTCTAGGGGAGGTGAAATACTGCAGGGAAGCTCATTAAGATAGGAAATAACTCAACATGCCTTCAAAAAGTCCCTGAAACTACCAGACTCACTAGAACCCTTCCTCTGCAAGAGCATACAAATGGTAAAGACTGCTGAGAGGAGACTCAGACAAGTCTGGTCACCTGGAAGAAGCAGAAAGCATCCAAACTGTCTAGAAGAAACAAAGACCAGCTGAAACTGGAACCACCTGGAACCAAAACTCTTCAGCCTGTTAAGCTGACTTGAACTGTGTGCTCCAGGTTTTCAGCTATTGTATTTCCAGCTAGTCTACCTATTCCATGCTGGGGTAGACTTTGGTAATGCAACTGTCTTTGCAGCTCCTGTAAGAAACCCCAATAAAGCTCATTAGTTCACCAAGGTGTACTTTAGTGCTATCTGTACTTTGGTTTGTCCTCAATTTTCTGAGATTTGATCACATATTTCCCAAGAATACTGTCACACATGTTTGTCATTTGTATATAGGGAGGCTAGCTAGCTTTGTATCTTTATACTTTCTTGCATGTTATTAGCTGTAGAATTTCCTGGTGGAATCTTTAGGGTCTTTTATGTACAAAATCTTATCATCTGTAAATAATGATACTTTGACTTCTTTACTTCCTATTTGTATCCCCTTGATCTCTTTCAATTGTCTTATTGCTTTAGGTAAGACTTCAAGAACTATATTTGAACAGGTAGGGAGAGAGTGGATCACCTTGTTTTGTTACCAGTTTTAATGGAAATGTTTTAATTTTCTCTATATTTAGAATGATGTTGGCTGTGGGCTTATTTTAAATTAACTTCATTATGTTGAGTTATATCCCTCATATCTCTAGTATCTCCAGGACTTTTATCATGAAAGGATGTTGGGTTTTGTCAGACGTCTTTTCTGTATCAAATAAGGTGATCATGTGGTTTCTGTCCTTAGGTCTACTCATATGGTGGATAATATTTATTGATTTACATATAATGAATCATCCCAGAATCTCTGGGATGTGGGTAATCTTTTTTGATGTGTTGTTGAACTTGCTTTCCAAGTATTTTATTGAGAAATTTCACATCTATGTTCATAAGAGACATTGGTCTATATTTTTCTTTTTTATATTTCATTGTTTGGTTTTGGTATCAGGGTAGTAACTGGCTTAATAAAGAGAAATTGGAAAGGTTCCTTAAGTTTCTATTTTATGAAATAACTTGAAGAGTGTTGGTGTTGGTTCTCTGAAGGTCTGATAGAATTCTACACTGAATACATCTGACCCTGGGCTCTTTTAATTGGTAGAGTTTTGATTACTGCTTCTATCTCATTAGATACTGTGGATCTATTTAATTCATTTACTCCATCTTGATATAACTTTAGTAGGTTACATATATCTAGAAATGCCTCCATTTCTTTTAGGTTTTCCAGCTTTGTAGCATTCAAAATGTAAAAGTATGAGCTTATGATTTTTTGACTCTCCACAGTATCTGTTGTAATGTCTCTCCTTTCATTGCTAACTTTATTAATTTGGATTCTCTTTCTTTTGGTTGATTTAGCTAAATGTTTGTCAATCTTGCTAATTTTCTCAAAATACCAACACTTTATTGATTCTTTTTATTGTTTTTCATTTCTATTTCATTAATTAAAATTAATTAGCCTTTAGCTTACCCTGAGTTTGATTATTTCTTCATATCTTTTGGGGTGCTACTTGTTCTTTTCTAAAGCTTTCAAATGTATCATTAAGTTATTAATGTGTGATCTCTCCAGTTTTTTTCATGTAGGCTCTTAGGACTGCCCTCATTGGGGCCCATAGATTTTGGCATGATGTGCTTTCATTTTCATTCAATTGAAAGGAAAACGGCACTGGTTGCTGGTGCTGGTTACCGAGTAGAAAGGTCATGATCATGACAGAACCCAGTGGTACCTTTTAGAGCTTTATTAGGAGAAGGGGAGAGAGAGAGAGTCAGGCCTGGAGGAGAGGAAACAGATAGAGAGGTGGAGAGAGAGAGAGAGAGAGAGAGAGAGAGAGAGAGAGAGAGAGAGAGCAGGAAAACATGGTGCCACCTTATAAAAGGCCAGAACGCACCTGCGCACACAGGTCCATGCACAGAGATAACGCTGTCATGTCCTCGCAACTACATGACCGTGTAACCATGGGGCATGGGTCACCCAGGACATATGACCCGGAAATGACTAGGAGATGACTAAGTGTCCCGCTGGGCATGCATGACCATGGGGCGTGGTTGGAATTCCTATCATCAATTCCAGGAAATTTTAAAATTTCTCCCTGATTTGTTCCTTGACCCAGTGCTCATTCCCTGGTGTGCTCTTCAGCTTCCATGAATTTGTGTGTTTTCTTCATTTCCATTGTCAATATCCAGATTTAATTCATAGTTATCAGAGTGCAAGATGTTATTTTAATTTTCCTAGATTTATTGAGACTTGCTTCATATTGTAATATGGGTCAGTTTGGGGAAAAGCTCCATGGATTGCTGAGAAGAATATGTCTTCTTCAGTGTTTGGGTGGAATGTCCCATAGATACCTGTTTGGTCCATATGATTTATGATATTATTTAATTCCAGAATTTCTCTATTTATTGTCAGGATGACCTGTCTATGGGTGAGCATGGGATATTAAAGTCCTCCATTATAACTGTATTAGGGTTGATATGTGATTTCAGATATCATGGTGTTTCTTTTATGAAACAGGATGCTGCTATGTCTGGTGCAGAAATGTCTGGGATTATAATATCATCTTCTTGGTAGAGCTTCTATGTTAAAGGTCATAAGTAAGATATGTCTTTAGCAACAGAGAATTACCATCTGGTTATGGACAGTAACAAATATCCTTTACAATAGCCTGTGATGTTCTGGGAGGGAAGCCTACAGGAGACCTTCAGCCAATGACTCAACAAGATGTAACCCACTCCTGGCATTGGAGGTTTACTTGGTGGCATCAGAGGTCTAACTGGAGCCTTGTATCCCCCATTAGATGGTGACTCCACTTAAATTCCTTTCATATGTGTATATATTTTTGAAAGCTTCTGCAGTGGTAATTTTCCATATGGCTTTTCAAAAGGCTTTTGGTATTAATTGTCCCTCGCTGTGTTCTCCCTTTTACCCTACCCTCCTACCCCTCCTAATTCAATCTTCCTGTTCTAGTCTCTCTTTTAACACTATTCTCTAAGTCCCCTTCCTTGGCAGATCCCTTCCTCCCCCTTGGTCCTCTATCTACCTAACGTCTATGGATATTCTGAATGAAATACCTATATCTAAAGTTTAAATTGTTTTCTCTTACACGTGGATGCTTCTCTTCTGAGGTGTGGATTACCTCACTCAGAATGATTGTTTCTAGCTTTATCTGCAAATTTCATTTTTTTCTTACCAGCTTTATAATATTCCACTGTGTAAATGTACATTTTCATTATCCATTTATCAGTTGATGGACATCTACACTGTTTCCAATTTCTGTCAATTATGAATAGAGCAGCCATGACCATGGATGAGCAGATACCCAGAACCTCATAGTAGAGAAAGCAGAGTATAAGCTTGAATAACTGGCATAGGAAAGGACTTTTCTGAAAAAGACATTTGTAGCACAGGCACTAAGACCAACAATTAATGAATTAGTTCCACACAGAGCTAAAAATAAAGCTTCTTACAGCAAAGGACACCATCAGTCAAGTAAAGTGGCATCCCAAAGAATGGGGAAAATATTTACAAGTTATAAATCTGATAAAGAGTTAGTATATAGACTATAGAAAGAACTAAAAAACTGAACATCAAGAAAAATATAACCCAGTTAAAACTGGGATATATAACTAAACAGAGAGTTCTTTAAAGATGAAATTCTAATGCCGGGCGGTGGTGGCGCACGCCTTTAATCCCAGCACTCGGGAGGCAGAGCCAGGCGGATCTCTGTGAGTTCGAGGCCAGCCTGGACTACCAAGTGAGTTCCAGGAAAGGCGCAAAGCTACACAGAGAAACCCTGTCTCGAAAAACCAAAAAAAAAAAAAAAAAAAAAAGACAGACACTGCCTTCGACTGAAAGGATGGACAAAAGCACTCCAACTCAATGGGCCGGAATCAGGCATGGCTATTCTAATGTCTGATGAGACAGACTTAATCAGAAGAGGTAAAGAGAGACACTGCCTTCTAATCAAGGGGACCGTGAATCAAGAAGACATTATTATCCTAAACATAAATGCACTAAACTGTGCTTCCCCCCAAAATCCATTGGATTTAAAGAAACAGATGAACATCAATTTATTAATAGTACATGATTTCAATAACCCACTTTCTCCAATAGACAGATCATCTGGATAAAACAAAACAAAACAAACCCCAGAACATCAGAATTAATTGACATCATACATCAAATGAACTGAACAAATATCTCAGAATATTCTACTCAAACAAGAAAAAATACAAATTCTACTCAGCAATACACGGAAGTTTTTCTAAAACAGACCACATCCTGGAACACAAAACAAATATTTACAAGTTCAAAAAGATTGAAATTACCTCATGCATCCTATCTGAACACAATGAAAAGAAAACTTAAAATTGACAGCAAAAGACCTCTAGTAAATACACAAAGTCATGGCAATTAAACAACTCGTTACTGGATGATGTAGGTATCATAGAAGAAATCAAGAAAGAAATAAAAGTCTTCCAGGAGTTAAATAAAACTAAAAACATAATGCAATAAAACCTCTGGGACATAC